AGAACAAGGGAACGCGCAATTGAATTACAAAAATAAAAGATTTCATAACATCCTCCCCCTTGGTTACGGTATATTTCTCTTACTACTGGTTCTAACAAAAGAATACCATGTCTAAGATTAATTTCCCAAGCCCAAAGTTCGTAACATTATGATCTTAATCATCAAAAAATCACTACAGAGTACTAACCATGACCAATAGCTTGTCTGTACATGATGGCATTAAGATTTCGTGGATCCATAGCCTTTCTCTTTTCATCGTCCTTTGTGACATTTTCCGACATCTTAATCTTCAAATCCTCCTCGGTATATTCAGGATGCTCCGCACGAACTTTCTCAAGTGCTTCCTTTTCGGCCTGCCTGACCTCATTATTGTGTCGATCCTCGACAGATTCGAAGAGTGGACAATTTCCTTGTTTACCGCCTCTCCTTATATCATTAAAATGCTCATAGTTGCATGACTTGGAACACACATAACACTGAACGTTATAACATCCATTCCGTGTACAAGTCATTTTGTTGCAACCTTCTTCCTTTACAAAAGGGGTACCACATTTATTACAATTCCTAATCATTGCTGCAGACATTGCTTCCTCAATTTGACGTCGAATTGAGAGACCATTTGCCTTGGCATTCTCTGCGCAAGTCAAAGGAATATGCGACACCAATTTACAAAGGCGACAGCTGACCTTTTCGCAATCAGGAGCTTGGCATCGAAATTCTCGATTGATCTCAACAGGAGGGTATTCTGCTGCGAATGGACAAAATGGACAACTCGCGAGATTTTCAATACCAGCCATACGTAAGACAGCTTCTGCTTCATTACGTTCCAAGGCAGTGATAGTTAACTCATCTAGGAACTGGTTCCTGTGTAATGAATAAGTAACAATCCAAAAGGACTAACAAGCTGGGAATACTTACCTCTGCTCAAGAGAAAATCCAGCTTCACATCCATCCGTGGACATACAAGAGAGTTCATATTTAGAATTTCCAATCTCGGTTTCTGCTGTTTGTCGTGCACAACCACGGCAAAACCAATGTAGTACGTCTTCGCTATTACAATGGACCATGCGATTAAGTGGATAGTCGCAGTAACAACATGCGCATTCTGACATTGTCCCTTCGGCTATAGCTCTCCTCTCATTTTCTTCTTCTGCAAGTTGGGCTTCACGTTCCGCAAGGCGACGACTTTCTGCACTCTTTCGGATGTTCCGACATGCTTGTAATTCTTTAAAAATGTCCGACTTCTCAGGTGATAAATTTTCTGAAATGGCTTCCTCAAGATTCTGTTCTCGGTACTCAACTGGCATCCTTCTTAGATTCTTGATTCTATTATATGGTGGATTGGCGGCGTCAAAAGTTCTATGTATTTCCTCCAGTGTGCGATAGGCCGTGAAAAGACGATGGCCGGAGGACAAGAGCGTCGATCTATAAATGTCATTGGGTTTGTGGAACTCAATGAAGGATGCTTCGACTACCATAAGTTAGTCACATGAATATAGGACAGGACAGAGAAGCATCTGTAGAGAGAGAAATATACTCACATCAAAGTCCGCTCCAAATATAAAGCAGGTCCAATCACGCGACCGGCAGCTTCATACTTTTGGATAGCTTCCTCTTCTTCACTGAGTACTCTCTTTCTTTTCAAAACCTTTTGTGTGTCTTTTGATTTTGGATAAGGACTTCCCGCATCGGCTTTGTCCAGTATATGGGCGATCAATTGATCAGACGATGGAGTCACAGTTTCATAAAGACTTGCGACATGATCTCTACATATTTCTGGAAAAACTGCAACAACTGCATTGACGCATTCCATCTTTGTTTCCATTTTAGGCTGAGGTTGGTTATTTGCTGTTTGTTGGTCGGAATCAGAAGATTGGCCAAAAGAGTAAGCAGGATTTGATTGGAGTGTATAGTCTTCCCACATTGCACGATTCACCTCTTCTTCATAATCAACATCCAACCACTCCGGCCAAGCCATTTGCGGTTCCTCATTTTTGACATTAGGAAGGTTGTTTGTTAAATTTTGGTTGGGTAAAGCTGCGGCCGCCGGTCGAGGTATCCGAGAGGCATACGGTAGGTCGAGATTTCCATCGTCGACGAGATTAATCATTTGGTTATTGGCACCAAAACCCCCCATCAATGGATGATTTGGTGGTTCTGGACGTTGCAGATGTGTGGGAAGTCGAGGAGAGTCATAAGCATCTTCATAATCATCGGAATCAGAGTCGGAAATCTCGATAATTTTGTCAGCTTCATTGTTGTTGATGTAGGCTGAATTATTTCTCGGACCATTTGAATGGTTAAGTGGAAGTGTTTGGCTCATATTGAAAGGGCGACAGTATATTCAGTTGATCAATTGAATAAATTCGCAAGGAGTCGGTGGTTCATGGTAGTTGAGGTGGGAATGAGAATGATCGTTTGCATATTAAAGACAATTGAGATTTCTATATGGACTGATGAACCAAGTAATAGACTATCAACTTTAGTGTGATGGTACTAGAGCTATGGTATAACTAGTAGAAGATTCGAGTCAGTATCTCCTTCTTAGTATTGGACTGAAGGTGTTTGCGAAGTGAATAGTGCGATTGGGATCGAGGGAATTGAAAGCAAATGACGACACCAGAAATGACTCGGGATATGTGGAAAGAAGGAAACGAAGATGGAATTTATGGAATATTCTCAAGAGTCTCAAGAGTCTCAAGATGGAGAGGTGAAATTAAATGGGATTGTACCAAAGAGATGGAGTAGATAGGTCAAGTAGTAAGTACCGAGTGGTATCTTATCTGACTTTTGAGTGAGGGGTTGTTTAGTTGTGGAGAGAAGGTCCAACGGAGATAAAATCCTGGTAGGGAATTTTACCTGGTAGTTTATTATACAGCTGGTGAACGATGGATGGCGTGAATGGTAGGCGCCTAGTAAGGAAGTATTAAAGTAAAGTACATGAGATTTATTAGTAAAGTAAAGTGATGGGAAAGTACTTGACGAAGATGAGATGAGATAGAAGTGGAACCTGTCAAAAAGATTAAAATAAAAGTTACCACCAACAGTTTGATAGGTACGTAGTCATACTCCTCATACCTCTTCACAGGTAGTAAAGAATGAACATCAATACAACTTATTATTATTAACAAGGTAGACAAGAGGCAGGTAGGTAGTAGGCAAGTAAGTAGCTTCTCTTCTCAAGGCAGGGCAGAAATGAGTGAAGTGAGTGAAGTGGGAAGAAAAAAGGCAAGCTAATGAGTGATGATGGATAAATTTAATTTATGCATGTTGGTTGATGCTTGTGAATGCATCGATATCATAGGTTGAATATGATAATTCTCTCCACCATCTCCACTCTTTCGACCATCTCCACTTATTACTAGTTGGCCAGAGCTCCTGATACCTTGTCATATGAAGCACAGACTTTGAAGAGTCTCTGGGGTGGCTTGATCTGACTTTGGGTGATGTGGATGAGAAGGGCAAGGAAAAGATTCCCCCACACACTCTGTACCTACCAAAAGTTCAAAAGTTCAAAAAGATACACAGATGGAATTCTTCTAGAACGGGCTGATGAAATGATGAAATGAGATTCTATTTATTTTTATTCTAGTAGTAGTTGTTATCATTTGATAGGTAATTTGAATGGAATCGACGTCTAGATTTAATTACATTACAATTTACTAGATTAGGTATTATAAAATCATCTTCTTACTTTACTCATAAGTCATTCAATGAAAAAATACAATCTTTACTCACTCATCTCACCCATCATCCTTCACTTCATTCCCACATCACCCATGGAATTATTCTGGAATGGTTTCTCATGTACCTACCACCCACCTACCTACCAATAAATTATCTCCCCAAAAGAGCTGATAAAAGACACACAACACAACACAACATAACTTCCCTCCCTCCAAAATCCCACCACATCCCCTACGATCCTGTATCGTTGATCGGGAAATTCTTCTCAGCATCTCTCCTACATGGGAATTTGGCTAATGGAACACAACATTTGAGCCATGTCACGATCGTATTGAATCGGTCCAGTGAGAACATCTTACACGTTTCTTGGGTCGTACTCAACTTCTCCCTTCAAAATTGGTACTCTCTTACATATATTGAGATCCCCAACGTAAATCCGGGTCTGGAGAATGAATACGGATGTTGTGAGAAATTTGTCGATCGATGTATGTGCGGCACAGTTGTTGAATATGATTACTAGGTACCTAGCAGAGATTATTAATTTCTAAGTTGTATCAATACTCTGTATGAAGAGAAAAGAAGTAGAATGAGAAACTAGTTTATTACTTTATCACCACATCTCCCATACATATACGTACAACGTACCTGGTCTACTCTCCATTACCTAATCGTTCATGAGGTTAATTTATCTCTCATCTCCTTTCACATGATGATGATCATTCCTTATCGATAGGGAGGGGGAGGTAAGTCATACATATGTACGAGTAATGACAACATCACATTACGATAACCATATCTCGGTAATAGATAACCCATTCAATTTATCAATCAATAACCCACCACCTTAGCAATCCAACGGCACTCAGGTACAACTCCCTTTCGATTCACCCTTTGACCATAAGTATATCCTTATATGCAATTCCCACATGCATCCCATATTCAATCACATATGCATCTACTCAAGTATCGAAGAAGTAATAAAAGAGAATGAATCTTCATCACGGTCCTGAGATAAGCGCAAGTCTATCATCCCTCCCTTGATAAATCCGGTTATTATCGGCCCCCGTCTCACCGTTCTCTTCCTCAATTTACTCCAACCACCAACCATCAACCTCCAAAATACGAACATGAAGTGATTAAGCATTCTCGATACCTTTAAAGGCAAGAGCTCTGACTAAGAACAATTCAGCTTCATGCGATAGTCTGATCACTTGATATGCACTTGATATGTATCTATTCACCAATTGCTAATCGCTCTCCTCATCTCACTAGCTATTTTGCATTCTAGCTTGTCTTTGATCGTTTTACCTAGGTACGTATTGAGAAGGTAGGTAGGTATTCAATTCCTTCAAAGACCGCACTTTCCCCACCGTCCATCGGTACTATCTACCTAGCATTCAATTGTATAGGGATCCTACCTGTTTCCCCTTCATTTCCATGCCCCACAATAGAGGGAATAGAATAACTTTATTAAAGAGCCAGATAACACAGAGACAAAGGATCTCATCATCTAGCTTTCATTCTTCATTCTTCTTCGTTTCAGCTCCCCTCCAAACATGTTTCCCGATTACAACTCTCCAGATCTTCATCTGGCACATCCTACTCCAGAAGAGAAATTAGCAACCTGGAATCTCAACTATGAAGAATGGGGCAAAGCACTCTCCAAACCAGATTATCTTCATCGAGAAAAATATCTCGCAAGTCTTCCATTAACATCAGATGATGGAATGACATACTGGTGTTTAGTCGACAAAAATGCCCCTCCAAATTTGAGAGAAATTTACGCGTCCTGCGAATCCCTTCGCAAAAGAGCATTCATATCAAGGAAAGGAAAAGTCGAAGAAGTCATCATTCATTCCATTGGAAGTGTATTTTGTCCTCCCAAAAACAGAGGTCACAGATATGCATCTAGAATGATGTCGGATCTAGGTTCTATTCTTCGAACATGGCAACTCGATTCCAATATTCCCGGGCGTTCACAAATCCCCGCCTCAATTCTCTTCTCGGACATTGGAAAGAAATTCTATGCAAATCATGGCTGGCTACCCTTTCCCAGCTCTCATATCGCTCTCCCTCCTATACCTAAAGATACTAAAGCTCTAGAAGCCAGTCTAGCATCCCCTTTAAAAGCAGAAGATATTCCCGCCCTTTGCGCCCTCGACGTTCAATATATTCGACGCGTTCTCGAACGCGCCTCAGACGACAAAACACACATTGCACTTCTCCCCGACCACGCAACAATTCAATGGCACCACCTCCGCGAAAACATCATGTCCACACCTATTTTCGGACACGCCCCTGAAATCAAAGGCGCAATCGCTGGTTCAGACCCAGGTTCTCGCGTATGGGCTTATTGGACCCGTGGATATTACAACCCAATCGATTCCCCCAATTCAAGCAATTGTCTGCACATTTTAAGATTAGTAATAGAAGACGAAATAGACAATGAGGAAAACGCGCGAAAATTAGAAAGTGTACTCCGGTATGCGCAAATGGAAGCACAGGAGTGGAAGATGAAAGATGTGCAGTTTTGGAATCCGACGCCTCTGCTGGAACAATTGTTGGATAGGTCGGATTTGGGTGGTGAGGGTGCACATCAGAGGGTGGAGAGAGAGGAGGAAAGTGTGGCTAGTTTGATGTGGTATGGTGAGGGTGGGGGGTCGGTGAATGAGCTGGAGTGGGTGGGAAATGAAAAGTATGGGTGGTGTTAGGTGGGTGGGTAGGTGATTGGTGGGGGGTGGGTTTGAGGTTGGTTTGTTTTGGTTTGGTTGATTGGTTGGCTTTGGCGGACTGGGGAGTTCGGTGGGAGTTTGCCGGCGGGGTGTGTGGAGAGGAGTGGGGGGAGAGGAGGGAGAGGGGTAGGAAGGACTGGTAATTAATTGTTATCTACCTAGTATCTATCTAGATCTGATTTGATTGGATTTGGGATTTGATTGGATTGATTTACTACTACACATTTTGCAGAGCAGACACAGATTGCTTCTATACATCATCGTCATCATCATCATCGTCGTTGTATGTAGCTTATAGATTTACCTTTTTTTTTCTTTTTAAAATCTTATGATTTGATTGCTGTGATATAGATCGGTAGGTGAGTAAAGTGCTTGCTTTCTTATTTACTTTTTTATTTATCAATAATCTATTAATCTATTAAATATTACAATTACGATGATTTTAAACTCGGTTTAGTATTACAAGAAATTTGATATTTCGCCATTTCTTCTTTCTTTTCGAGTTTTAAGTCTTAAGTCTTAGGAGTTCTTCTCTCCTCTCCTCTCCTCTCCTCTCCTCTTCCTTTCTTTCCCTTCTGCTCGACTCGACTTTAATCGCTCACTCGTTCTACTCTGCTCGACTTGGATCGATCTTGGATCTTGGATCTCGAATATTTGATCGCTTGTTCGTTCATTCATTCGTTCGTTCGCTGGTTTAAGGGTACTGCGATATCTGCTCCCTTGTCCTTCACTCGTATCCATATTCATCGTTTTCATGTTCATATCCATGATCATAATCATGTTCATGACCCTCCTCTTGTTCCTGAGAACCCTGCTCTTGAATCTCAAATTTCGCCTTCCCCTCTTCAATCCAAGCATCCATTATGAATTCTCCCACCTCTACAGCTCTAATCGCCGTACTCTTCACTCCACCTCTTGCTTTTCCAACTCTACTCTCCCTTTTCCTCTCTTTTTCCTTTTCCCCCTCTATCCTCACTTCCCCCATATTATTACTATTCCCCTCCATTGCCTTCGCCTTCGCCTTCCCCTTCCCTATCCCATCCCCCCTCCCAACCTGCAACTCCGCCACCGCCGGCTCCCAGACCTGCGGATGCGAAATCGGCGCATTCCCCTCTCCCCCCTCATCCCCCTTCAACTCCATAACCAAACTCCAAGTACACTCCTCCGGATTCCTCAAATCCCCCAATTTCTCCGCACTATAAGCTAATTTCCTCAACGTAGCGCGTAATTCCTCTTCCACGTCGATATTCTTGACCTCGTATTTTTCATTCAGACCGCGGAATTCAAAGTCGGTGAAGCGTTCGGATGGAGGGATGGAGGGGAAGGAGGAGAGATTGAAGATGTAGCGTTCGAGGATTTGGGGGTAAGGTGGGTTAAGGTCGCGGTAGATGACGATGGAGATGGTGTTTATGGTGCCGGATTGGAGGTGGGGGGTTAGGGAGGTGATGCAGTTGTTTATGTAGGTGCATAGTTGGGGGTGGCGGTTTTGGGGTACTCTGGAATGGGTTAGGAGGGAGGATAGTATGGGAAGTTCGGATGAGATGAGATGGGAGATGGGATTGGGATTGGGAAGTGGCTGCAGAGGTATACACTTACGGAAAATTAAAGGCGCGTGTTAGGAGAAAGGTATTCTTCGGGTAGAGACCGCGTGCGTGGAGGATAGTGTGGATTGAGAGGGTAAGGAAAGAGAGGAGATGGGTGTGTAAAGAGTGAGGGGTACTGAGGGGTGGAGGACGTGTTGGCATTGTGATGATTGTTGCTTTGAACGTTGTTGGAATTGGGGATTATTCAAGGCTTCAAAGAGCTTTATTTCTGCTGGGTGAGATGGGTTTGTTCAACGAGTGACTTTTTTTCTTGGATGGCCGACTGAAAATTTGTTCCTTGCTGGCGTGTTGATAGAGTTGGTAGGTATTGTATTGCATTTCGCTAATCGTAATTCCATCTTATCGTAGGTGCCTAGACTCCCCTCGAGTAAGTATTCATTACTCGCAAACTTTTTAGCTTGAAACTATTAATAACTAAATTATCCTCACGAGTCACCATCATAATCATCATCAAATACCGTACTCCACATACCCCTCTACAGGTCTGGGATACTCTGTATTGTGGGGGTTGAATCATATCTTTCAAGAGCCGACAGACGAGATGTAAATTTTTAATGACTACAAGAATTTTCAAAACTATTCATTGTGTACAAAGTGATATTATATTAAAATCGATAATTTTTTGATCTTTTTTTTACTTTGATTTTTATATATTGATTAATAAAATAATTTATTGAAATTTATTAAAAAGTAAATAAACATTTTATAATATTTTTATTTGAGAATTATATATTTTTTTTAAAATTGAAATGATGAAAAATTGGAGAAGAAAAAAAATGTTAAAAGGAATGACCTTATACAGGGAATAGTGGGAAGCTGATAGGGCAGATCTGAGGCTATATTGGCTTTTATAAGAATTGTCACACTTAAGAATACTAAGTAGAGTATCTTGTATTAGAAAATACTAAGCTAAGGAGAAAAGAAGAAGAAAAACAAGAGTAGCGAGTTTTCCTGTGATTAAATACAAACGGGGCATGCCACGTGACCCGAAGGTGTGAGGCGTCACAAGAATCACCTATCATTTTAGTTTTATAGAAGTTTAAAGCTCTTCTACAGAGAGCTTCTCAATCTAGTCCTAATAGGACTAGTGCCCTGTGCACGTGCTACGCAGGAACCATTCACTTTAACAAAATATATAATTAACATTTATAATTTTTAAATTAGTTTCTATTTATTTTTAAATAAAATTTAATAGAAAAATTATTTATTTTTAAAAAATTTATTTTAATATAAAATATAAATTGAAAATTGAATCATTTTAGAATTTAATTTTTATCAATATTTACTGATAAAATAAACAAAAATCAAGAACTTTTCAAAATACTTTTTTGAATCATATAAATAATTATAATATAATAATTTTTATTGAGAAAAATTTTAATATATATATTTTTTAATATATAATAAATATAAAAATAAATTTTCAATTGAATGTATTTATTTTGAAATATTAATTTTGATTTTTGTAAAAGTAATAAATTGCTTATTTTGGCTGTGAATTTTGAAAATGACTGATAGGAGTTGGCACAGACTGTACACCTACAAATAAGCGCGATCTACCCCACCACTTGGCGCACCTACACGAGTCACTAAGAAAGTCTAATTCCAACTCTCTCCCACAAATTTATTCCTATTCACATCCTACAAATACAAACTCTCAATCACTTGTGATACATTCTCTTTTATTCCTTCTTACTTTAATTCTCATATTTAATTTCATAATTTCGGTATTAAATATGGCTTCACCACACGAAGCACAACTTCTCCAAATACTTGCAGATACTCAATCATCTGCAGATGGTCCGCGGAGACAAGCAGAACATTATCTACAAACTGCTCAGAATGATCCAGCCTTTCCTTCTACACTTGCTTTAATTGCTTCCAATGGAACCGTCGCTTCTGAACTTCGACAAGCGGCTCTACTAAACTTAAAGAATTTTGTTAGTGGTAATTGGACGGGTGTGGATGATAATGGTATACCGACTGTTCACATTGAGGATGGCGCAAAAGCAGAAATCAGAGCACGAATGTTGGAGCTAGCGACGAGTGATGTAGATACAAGAAAGATTAAGGGTGCAGCTAGGTATGTGGAATTTCTTTTCGACCTGTACCTTGGTACTCACTGATGGAGGGGTAAATATGTTGGGTTGAAATCGCGATTGCTAATATATGGTTCGGTGAATAGTATGGTAGTTAGCAAAGTCGCCAATGTCGATTATCCAGATCAATGGCCAGATCTCCTTCCAACTATTCTATATATTATTCAAACGGGTTCCGATTTACAATTACACGGATCGTTGAAAGTATTGGCAGATCTTGTTGAGGATAGTTTGAGTGAAGATCAATTCTTTTCCGTCGCACGAGATATCGTCAATACAGTTTATGTTGTAGCCATTAATGAAGCACGAAAAGGATCATTACGAGCATTGGCCGTCTCGGTTTTCAGAGGGACTTTTGATATCATGGATATGGTCAAGGACGAACACGGAACAGAAGTAAAAGCGTTTGCAGAGGAGGTCTTGTTATCTTGGTCACCATTCTTCTTGGCTATAATGAAACAACCTTTACCTGCACCACCAAAAGAAGGAGAAGAGGATGGGCCAGTCGATCAACAATGGCGTGGAGCAATTGCATTAAAGTTACAGGTTGTTAAGACTTTGATGAAGGTTAAATCGGTTTTCCCAGCATTATTACTTCCACAAAGTCCAGTTCTATTCAGTGCTACTTGGGAAGAATTAACAACCATACAAAGCTTACACCAAGAGATGTATGTCGATAATGATATGCAAGGTCGTATGGAGGATGCGGATAATTTACCATATACTTTGGATTTTCTGGTGTTGGAAGAACTCGACTTTTTACAATCATGTCTGAGGGCTCCACCGGTACAGAAAGAATTGGAGGCCCAAGTTCAAGCAAATTCTAGCGTGTCTACCACCCCTTGGGTTGTTGATGTTATGAAACTTGCCGTAAACTATGCGCAAATTCCAAAGGAAGAGGAGGAGCTGTGGGATATTGATGTCAATTTGTTTTTGGCAGAGGAAACATCCGTTACCACACAATATACACTTAGAATGGCTTGTGGAGACCTCTTAATCAAGCTTGGGGAGTGGTTATCTCATGGTGCTTTTGAAGGTTTATTAACATACACTCAAATGATATTTTCATCGAATGCTGCGACATGGAGAATCAGAGAGGCAGTTTTATTCCTTCTCACTCAACTTACAAACGATTTCTTGGATGTCGACAAAGATATCAACCCCCAAATTTCCGGAGCTTTCTTACCTTTTATAGATTATTGTATCAACAGACAGGAAGAACCTTTATTACGAGCCAGAGGATATTTGGTTGCTGGTAATCTTGTACAAAGTTTACCTGATGTAGCTCTTGCATTACTCGATCGCACCATCAGTGCCGTCAATAAGGATGAAGCTGAAGTTGTTAAAGTTTCTTGTATAAAATCCTTGCAAGGGTTCATCAAAGCTCATACTGTACCGGCTGATCGCCAGCTCACGATTCTTTCTTCAATCTCCGAATTCCTTTATTCGAAAGATCTTACCGAGCTTGAAGTTGCCGATGATCTTCTTGTCACATTGGTTGAATCTCTGAGATCCACAATTCAAATGGATACGAGAATTACACTTTCATCTGAGGGAGGAGCTCTCGATCTTTTGTTCGTTCTCGCAAAACATGGTGCTTCAAATTTTCAATTGACTATGTTGGTCACCGAAACATTTGAGGATATTGTTACATCATTTGCTGGTGGAGAGGGTTACACAGCTTTATGTACTAAAGTTTTGCCTGCATTAACGGGTGCTTTCGACGTGGGAATTATGACTGATGATGATCCTTTAGTTGAGGTAAGATATTATATTTCATGTATGGATACTCGGCGCTGACTTGTCATTAGCTTGCGACAGAATTACTTGCACTTCTTACCGAGAATGGGTCCGAGCCGCTACCCCCTGGATACGTTGCTGCAGCATTACCCAAGTTAAATCGACTTTTAATGACTACCACTGAAGGTGGTATTTTACGACCGGGTGTTGAGACAGTCAAGTATATGCTTATGCATGATCATCAACAAGTCTTCGCTTGGCATGATGAAATTAATAGGTCAGGTTTGCAAGTTTGTCTAGTGATTATTGATAGATTACTTGGTCCTACTATGGAGGATAATGCAGCATCAGAAGTTGGAGGTCTCGCAGCTGAACTTGTTGAGAAAGCTGGTCAAGAACGTCTCGGGCCATTCCTAGGACAACTATTGAAAGCAGTTGCTACACGTCTAGCTACTGCCGAAGCTGCACCTTTCATTCAATCTTTAATTTTGGTCTTTGCTCGCTTATCTTTAGTTGGAGCACATGATGTTGTCGAATTCTTAAATGATACCCAGATTAATGGTCAAAGTGGCTTGCAAGTAGTATTAAGCAAGTGGTTGGAACATTCTGTCAATTTTGCAGGATATGATGAGATTAGACAAAAGTATGTTTCCATTCTAGGCCCCCTCGTTCATTCAATCATCGTCAGAAACTAATCCAGAATAGTGTCATCGCACTCTCGAAAATCTTCAGTCTCAATGATCAACGTGTGGCTCAAACAATGGTTAAGGGTGATTTAATCATTCCAACCAGCAATAGGATCATGACCCGATCCAAGGCTAAGCTTAGTAAGGACGGACCATATTTCGCACTTCAACCTCAACTAACACGTCGACCAGACCCCGACCAATATACCGCCATTCCTGCTTCTTTAAAGATCATCAAAGTCCTCATCGAAGAACTTCTTTCGGCATCAGGACTTCAAAATGCAGCAACAGCTGCAGCAGCAGCGGAATTTGCTGATGAGGATTGTGATGATGATTCCTGGGAAGATGTACCAAATGTTCTAGATTTGGGATTATCATCCACAAAACAGGATTTGATGGCTTTCGGAGAGGGAAGAGGTGGTTTTGGACGTATTAGAGATGATGAAACTCAAGGTTACTTGACGGAATTCTTTGTTAACGCTGGAAGGGAAAATATAGGTGGATTTAATGAGTTATATAATCTGTTGACGGATGAGGAGAAGATTAAGTTACAGGAATTGGCTCAGGGGGCTTGAGGGAGAATCGTTGAGCTAAAATAAGTGCAGATTGTGATGGATGATGGGTGATGGGTGATTTTTGGGTAACTGGAAAATGCATGCATGCATGGATGCAGGTGTAATGGATTGGAATAAATGGCATGGTTAATCGGGCGGATAAGCAGGGGTTATTTTATATGGTTTGAATTGTTGGCATCTTGGGTCGCATCAATGAATTCACGACTTGAATGATGATGAAATCATGAGGATGGGGAAAAAAAACTTATAAAGTTAAATAGATAAGTAGTATAGTATGCATTGTAAATATCGTTTGTATATATTCATGGTTGATAGAAATAAATTTGTAAATACAGATGGGTTTTATTTTGTGAGTCGTTTTGAGTGGATAGATGGATAGGTAGGTAGTTTTGAATAGATTCGCTTAAATAGGGATTAGATGGATTAGAGTAGAGAAATAGAGTAATAGATTCATTTCCTTTTTCAATTTAATAAATTCAGTAGATTTCATAGTAGTTTATGACATCGGAGGCTATTCAAGATGGATTAATATCTATTGACATTTTAAAGCATCGAAAGAACGGAATCCGTTGTAATGAAAGAAAGCGGGGTGGTTATGCAATGGAAAACGATGGGTCATGATTACCGACACAGCTCTTCTATATTAGAAATTTTGAGATGTATAGTTGATGGTGTATAGTAGTCTACATATTGAACAGGGGTTTTATTCAAAACCCTAAATACTCCCACCGTTCACCATTCACTAACTTAAAGTCCTCCGTTCCATATCCTAAACTTATAACGATCGTCGGGACAGGCCTCCGTAGAATAAGGTAACACGATATCTATTCCTTTCCAGATGAGGAGAAAGGTGCGAGAACCAACTACTATTACTATCAAAAAACAAGCGCGAAAAAAACCCAGGGAGAAGCTTCTGTCTATCTACAGTCCAGATGTCGAGAGAGTCTCTTTCTTTGTATATTGTGAGGGCTCGAGATATCTTGATTTGACCTTTCCTGTACGCTAATTCGCTTTAAGGAAGGGCGGTTTGAGCTGTAGCATCTAAAGTATCGACAGATGGGGATATTGACATGGCCATCGATATCGTCGTCGCCATCATCCTCAACAAGTTGATCGGTCTGCAATTTTTGTTCTGTTAGCTTTTGTTCCCTTTTTTGACACCGGAATTGAAGGATAGGGAAGCGGACACAAGGTTTCTAATAGTATGGGAGGAGTTTAAATTCCTGAATCCAATTCCATTTTGTAGATAAAGTCATAAAAATCTTGAATTCATTTTGCATTTTGAATTGTTTCCATGCATCGAAAGCTCATATCTGGTATTCTAGCCCGGACTATTGGATACCTGAGTGCATGTGGAGTAGAGAGACGGACGCAATGTAGGGAATAGTTATTCTTACCGTTCTTTCGTAAAAGGAGTGGTCGTTGATGGCAGCAGTATTGGTATTGGCAGCGACGCTGGTGATGGTGCTGGTTTAGGCGATGATGGCAATCTGTGGTTTTCGTGAGCTTGAAAAACTTGATAATTCATTATAGAAACGGAAGGCAAACGATGACGATGACCATGACCATGAACAACAAAACAAACAAAAGCTAAATCAATTTAGCATCGATCCATCTTACATGATCAGAATACTTCTAATTCCTCAAAGCAACAGAATAGTTGGCACAAATAAATCGGGAATCCTTTGGTATTTCTTTTGTGTTGTGTCATGAAGGGATTGAACCTTCAAATAACAAAAACATATTCAAATAAGCGGGTTAACCATCCATTTCTTTGCGATTAGAAGTTCCCGATTAGTCGATAAGAATGATCCGGTAATTGTATTGTCTTTCCAAGTTTGGGACTTTCCAAGATTGGCTCCGTATCTGTTAAATCAGTAGAAACAGGTCACAAAATCGAATACATGAGATCATGGTAGAAGATAGCAATTTATAAGCTGATGCACAGGATAAAAAAGATTACATGTAATGGTTTACCAGTCAGAGGGATCTCACTAGATTGTCATTCCTTCATTCAAGAGAATGGGAAAAGGATTAAAAGGAAATACAATGGATGGGGTAACATGAGATATGGTGTAGATTTGATGTTTGAGGGATATGAAATATAGAGATAAAGCGCTGGTATTGACAGCAAAAGAACATCAAAAATTGGCAATGTCAATAGAGTGGCTAATCAGTCAGTCAGTCAGTCAGTCAGCGATCAGTGAACCTTTTATTCTTAACTGATTAACTACGATATATCATTACTACTACTGATTTGCTGAATTAGTTGATAAGTTATTGATCAACCAACATATGATCCTTATTTGGTAATAAAATTATTGAAAAACGAAAATATACCTATTCCCTTCTTTTTCTTTCTCCCCTTTTCTCCTATTCCCCCCTCTTCTCTTTCCTCTTCTCTTTCCACTTTCCTCTCCCTCTCCTTCGCCCTTGCCCTTGCTCTTGTCCATTCCCTTTTCTTTTCTCTCTTCTCCCACTCCTTTTTTTTTTTTTTTTTTTTGAAAAGAACTCAAGTATTACTTAACTGATCAATCAACTATCAATTAATAATCGATGTTTATAAACAACCGATTAGCTTCAAGTCAAGGAAAGCAGATATCCCCATAAGATTTTTTGATATAAAATATATCAAAATCCTCAAAATTTTACATTTGAAAAATCTTATTTTGAGTATATAATTATGAACCTTTGAACTAATGCAAGAAAGATTTCACCATTAGAATTATATCATCAAACTAAACCTAATAATATGAAAAACTATTGTATTACTTCAAAATTGATTATTTTATTACTCAAATTGATCATTTTGTATCACTCAAACCATTATTTTATCACCAAAAAATCTCACGGGAATCCTCGCGTTCCCTAATAAGAACTAATCGGTTGTTCATGAGCACCAATTATTAGAGTCTAATCTTATTGAGTAAGTAATGATATTTAACAAGGAACTAGTCTACTAGTCTAGCTTATTCACTGTTAATTAGCGTTATGAGTTAGCTGACTGATTGGCCACTCTGAATGTCAATGCTCACCCCTAAGTCCACGGCGAGTACCTTCTCTTCATTTTCGGTCTATTGAGTTCCAAAGTCGATGATTTCGAAACGTTGGCCTACATCTTCTTCCTCTCCTTCTTGGATTGCTGCGGGATGATTGACGGCGAGGCGGCGACGAGCAGCGGAAGGGGAAGCGTAATGCTCAAAACGCATGTATTCCATGTAGTAGCCCGACCACGCAAGGAAAGTACCCGGACTTGGGGTATCCGGACGTCTGGTATCGCGACGTGGGGCATCCGGGCGTGGGGCATCCGGAAGTGTTGTAATGGAGCTGCCGCTGGCGACTGAAGCCTGAGAAACTGGCTGCACCACACGCAGGTATTGGATGATACTTTTGCGGTTAAGATGGTGGAGGGACCAAGCAATCGCCTCAAGCTGGGTGCGTCTCACGTGGGAAGGCAAGGCGTCCACAGCAGCATGTTCCCGCTGAACTCGAGCATGCAAAACAGCAGCATCGAATTGTTGAGAACCTTGCGGGGCTCGAGCAGCCTCGGCAGCTCCATTTGCTTGGTATTGCATGTAGTATCGTCTCTGCTCAGCAGCCAGAGCATTGTTTTCCGCTTTGATAGTCTCCTCACCAACTTCAGAATTCTGGAGAGTCTCGAGTGACAATTGAGACTCTCTAAACTCCTGAAGAAATTGACTAGGTCGCTCAAGATCATTCTGAAGAGCTTGAGTTCGCGCTCCAACGGTCAAAAGAACTCGATCCTGCGCATTGCGGCGGGTGAGAGGGGGACGAGCCAGATGAGAAGTCATTTTTGGCCTTCCCGGAGGTTTGGAAATGGAAAATGATCATACCCAAGCGGATAGGAGGTTCTTTTTTTTAATTTAAATGAAGGATAATCCTTACTTAATCTGTGTGGCCACTAGTAGAGCTACAACTACAAGTAAGTGGTAGGGGAGAGACGATCTCGCGTTAAAGTGTTGACCATTCAACTGGTTTGATGCTCTACGCCAATCATTTTCGTTCATGTGAAGCTTCTTCTCCATAAGAACCAGTTAGTCTAACTTTAGAGACCAACTCAACCACTTACCTTTTCTATGTGAAGATTAGAGAAGTGATTTTCTTGGTTTTTGGGATGACTACCTTTAGCTTCATTCTCGAAATGGTTGGGTTGATCGAAGCACGAACGGCCCTGTCAAATGTGCGGGATGAGATTTGACATTTTGCCACTCCAAAAAATAGAACACAATCCAACAATTCACAATTCAAACAATATTTCGATACGAAAAATTCTATGTGTATTTGATATTTCTCTCTCAAAGAACAAAGTCTCTAAATCTCCGCGAAGTTTGAATCCATTACCGATACCTCTGTGTATTTTTGATTAAAGGTATTCATTACTATGCTTACTTCGGCGCTACATGCCACTAAAATTCCTCCTCAATCCCAACTCCAAGATTTTACATCAAATTAATCCCCAAGGTTTTTGGTGTACAAATTACATTTGATAGATTCTCTAACGCTAGAAAATGCGTATATCTGACCAACGAAAAGCTGGATGCCAACTGAGAGTTTCATATGTATATTTGATAATGTCGTTTTTGGGAGAGTTTGCCTTCTCGCGCCAATTTGTGGGGCACATAGGAGTAGCTCGGTAAACTTCGATTAGCCTCCTTGTCATGGGTGATTGCTGCGCGTCGCATTACGATAATCAATAAGATACTTCAACCGCTCACTTTTATGAGAAGCAAATAATACCCTCTTCTTTCGTATCAAAAATACACGAGTATGGCCAATGAGGACGCGATTCAGATCGATTGACAAGCCAAAATGCTAATCTTTATGCCTCCGAATTTTATACTGGGGTGCATGAACGAGAAGCCGGTGTTGCACCAGCAGCCTGCTTTTAGCCACACTGTCCACGATTATTAAATCATCCCGCAACTGCCATTATCTCCCTTTTACTCTCTTCCTGCGTTCGTTTATGTCCATCATTTGGCTAACCACACTCGGGGGCCATCCCCAGCAACGTGATCCCAGACGGTAGAACTATTGAATTGTTGGAGTCCTGATGACTCGTGAGCCTGATTTTACAACCTGACTTCTGTGCCTAACCGGGCCGGTACTACTCCTTCTCACTCGATCATGACAACCCAAGGTTAATGTGTAATGAATTCAGCCATTTTATTGGGAACTGAGTTCTGTTCATCGAGTTCCCTTAATTTAATGCCTAGACTGTCTGTATTTGGAACCCAAAGCTATATTCTAGTAGATTAGCTAAAGAACCTTGTGGAGATCTGATGATCGACATCGACAAAGAGAAGACTCTGCCTTCGTTTGGACTAAAAAATGGGTTGATTACTTCCAAACTTTAACTTATTTTAACCACTAATTCCGGTTTGGTCCCGCAACCCTTAATTTATAAGGAATTGCTCCCATTTCTTCTAAAGATGAGGAGTCGGGCTTAGGTAATGCAACATATTCGAATCCGGATTTCCAACGGTCCCTGCTTTTTCAGGCTGAACGGGTTTGAAAGTACAGCTGACCAACTCTCTCCAATAGCCCATTCGAAAAGGAATATACTATAGGAGATTACATAGGATATAGACATATTAGTAACAGCATAAAGTAGCATTCGTGCTGCCGAAAAGTATACAACTCCGGAGTTAAAGAGACCAGATTACTGTTCTTGTAAATTATCTCGTAATTCACCAGTTTGTGGCCTTGGAATGGACTTAGGAGTTGTACATTTTCTGATCAAACGAGTATAACCCTGAGTAGGAGGAGCGAAAAAACATTCATTATTGTTTCGTTGCGTATTGAATAGTAGGCTTTCTTTACCGTCTTTTCCTCTTCATTCCACTCTTCTTTCCTTCTACTCTTTCCTCCCATCTCGTCCACCTCCTCGAATCCTCGCCACTTACCTATCTCATCACACCGCGTCCCACCCATCCATTTCTAAACCTTCTCTCCCTCGGCACCCGTACATATCATCAACCCACAATCAAATACTTTAACCTAACCCATCCAGTACACCAGCAGAAATCATTCCATCTTAATAAATATTCAATCAGAAGGGACTCGAATATACCTTATTCCTTTTCTTTCTCACACCCAATACTGTATTCCATCATCCCTTCCCTTCCACACTCACAATCATACTCACATCTACTCAACTGCCTCCTTAACACAGTAAACTACTCTTAAAAATCCCGCAGTATATCCAAGTCAATTACATAAATATCTAGATAATAAAATAAGTCTAGTCATACACTTATCCCAATTTCCCAAACAGAGTAAGGCCTACTAATATTCATCTATAAAAAAAAGTATCAGAAATGTTCTTTAATGAACATGATCTTTCAGTGTATCTTCTCACTTCTCTCTTCCTTCCCTTCTCCCAGCTTTTCCAAAATTGCCATCCCACCTTCAGATATCTATACAGTAAAATTAAGGAAATCACCGGTTTTGATTTGGAGCTTCCTTATTGTATCATTAATCACCCGTCACCCTTCACTCACTTATCAATACTCGCATCATCACACCAAATCATTTAATCATGGCTCATACACCCCTACTAAATAATAAATCAATAGTTTTTATTTCATTCTTGTGAACCAGAACCCATCCTCCCTCTGCAAATACAAAGACCTATCTAAAACTTCCGCAAATCGTTGTTGATCTCATATCGAAACTTAATGTAAAGTGATACAATAATGGGTATCTCCTAGCCATTTACCTGTGTTTGTAAATATTGTGCTCCTTCTGCGCCTGTTTGTCCGCGGAGTGGTATGATTCAAAAAACAAAACCGAAGAAATGAGGCTTGTGCAGATGCAGATACCTCATGTAATACCCTCGCTGTAAACAAATCCCAATCCAACCTTGAAAATAAACATGGAGGTAAGGAATGAGATACATGATCAGTATTGTGCCAAGTAGAAGTCGATATCAAACCGACGACCAAGACAGAGAAATATGAACCTGCCATCATAAATGCCAATCATCCCATGCAAGATACATCAACCTCGAATATGGTAGCCCGTGAGTCTTGAGAAACCCCAGTCTTTAATACGTTTCATGATGGGAATTCTTCCATCATACGCACCACTTACATCTCTGCGCATACCCATACCCATAGCCATATCCGTGTCCTCTCTCTCATATTCATTCGGATTACCGCCCAAACGAAGACTACCATCACCACTACCTTCACCATTCTCCTTGTTTTGTGCAATTTCCATCCTGCGTTTTGTAAATATATGATGGTTAATAGCGTAATCGGTCGCATCTTTTAGTTCGTCCAAGACGGAAACACATTGTGCGATAAATGTACCGGGTTGTGCAATGGCTTTGAGAGATTCGTGGAGGAGTCGAGATTTCTTTAGGATTATGCTGCTGGATTGGGTTGCGGATGCTGGGTCTTGTTGACTCATGATGTAGGTGACTACTGCGGCGGAGTAGATGACGTATTGCATGAACTGAGGTTTTCCATAGAGGTTAGTTTTGTGTCAAGCTTAAGGTAAGGGAGAAAGGCAGGAGGAAGGAAGTTGACGGTTTGGGGAAGTAGGAAAGAAAGGAGTAGAGAAACGAAACTTACCCAAGCACTTCGGAGTGGAAGTGATACAACGAATCCATATCGCTGAGTCTCTCGCATACTTGGAGTTTGGGTCCAGTATTCAGGACGTGGCTCGATGATTTCGCAAATCTCCTTACAAGCATCCACAAGATTACTGATCATCCCATCAATCTCATCCATAAGATCTTCATCATTGGTTGCCGCGTCGAGAATGAAATCGCGAAGCAAAAGAAGCTGAGCATGGTTATATGCTAGCAAGAGCTCTGTTCTTTGAAACCTGTAAATCTGGAGCAAATTGCGGGGGTCGACATCAGTCAGAAGAGCGACATTTTTCTTCCAGGCCCTGAGGTCATCCTTATAAGCCTTGGCCAATTCTAAATGTCTCTTAATTTCCGGTTTTCGAATTCCATAAATATCCTTTAGGATTTTGCTGATAATGATTGCAAGCCTATTTATTTTAATTAGCAATAACACTCAAGTTAACAGAAGGAAGGATAAATTACTCGATATGGAGATTGGATGCAAAGTTTCTGGACAGAATATCTTGAGAAGCAGGTATGAGAATGGAAGGTGTAGATTGTTTTTCCTTGATGAGCTTTGGCATATCCTAATCAGCTTGTCAGTAATCCTTTCCATTTGAACAAGTTTATCATGCTTTCATCTTATCTTCGAGACGGATCAATTGAATAAAGACCCCCGAAGACCATGGTCAAGTTCATGACCAATTGTCGACTAAGCAGATGGTTTGGTTTCTTTCCTAGTCGAACTGCAGACACTTCTTGTTCCAAGGAAGGGGCGAGCGACATAACTAAACAACCGCATACAGGATTGCATAACTAAGAGTATGCAAAAGATTGACATGCTTGCTAGCAGAAAGATATAGCTTACCTGATCAGTATTTTCCAGCTCAATAAGCTGTGGTCTATGCAAGACATAACTTAAATATTTGTCCAGAGTAAAAGCTGCCCAAAAGACTCTCTTCTGACATTCAATATCAATCAGACTGATCACATCTTTCTGGCTATGCTTTCTTTGTATTCCAAGCGCGAATATTAAGCTGACGACGGTGCCAAAAGTGCTCCAGCATTGATTAATTCTGCCTTTGGCTAGAAGATAGTAACATTGTAGGAGTCGAGCTTGAATACTAGCTAGCTGAGGTGGACCAGTTTCGGATCGTAGTTGCTCGTCCGCCAAGTGAAAGTGAAGCATACTGTTGGTGATAGAAGCATTAGCAAAAGAACAGAAAAGATTTGACTCGCTGACCTTGTATCTAATGGTTCTGGGCCTGCGTTGTAAGCCTGAGCTGAAGCAAATATCAAAAAGACTGCCGCATTCCTGCTTTTGAGCTCATTTTTGTGCAAAGTATAGCCATCTTCAGATAGCACATCCATTGTCCAGCTTTCGACACTCGGCCTGTGAAGGAAGAGCAAGCTAGGAGAAACTTTTTCAAAATAAGTTGCAACTAGTGTAGCACCAATATCTTTATTTGGTAGAGCAACCATTCCAGATCGACCGATCATCATCGGCAAATCACCAAATGCAGAAACCGGAACATGAGAATTTCTGAGTGGCATATCAAATCTTTGTTGAGCCTCATGAAGGAAAGTATCATTCGAGCTGTTGTTGAATTGCTGTTGATATGGTGCCAACATTTGTGTAGTTACTTGAACTTGGCCATATGGACTAATCATTGGTGGTAGTTCTGTCTGATGTTGTTGAAAAGAGCCAGGATTTATTGGGCTGAGTCCATTGTTGAAGCTAGGATGTCTCAGATTTTGTTCCACAACTGGATTCAGTTGTATTTGGACTCTGCGGCCTCGGGTGTAGGGGAAGTTGTATGAGCATGATCTTTGACCGGTGATACAATTCACACAAGGCGTATTGCCAGAACACTTTTGTTTTGCGCTGCGCAATTGTCAACAAGGCTTCGAGAACCTCTCATGCCACCACGTGATTGTGTGTGGAACGAAGGGGGAAGTGAGCTCTGGAAACTTACGTTCTACATTGATCACATGCTTGAGTGACTCTGCGACGTTCGCCACTTTTTGGTCTCCTTGTTGGTGGAGGCTTGAAGGAATCTCCATGGGGGATTGATATCCTAGGTGGTATATTGTCCATTTCGATGAGATATCCAAATATGATAGAAACACCAAGATGCGGAGGCGGTTTGTAATCAAGTTTGTGGATTGTAAATTGAACTTGTGAAATTTGGAAATGAAAATAAGAGCAAAGGATCTTGAGAGAAGCGGTTGTCAAGAGAAGTAGCCGGATAAACAAGCAAAAAGGTTTCCGACAACACTAGCGAGCCAATTACCTGCTAAGATAGTTCCGGATCTAGATATCGAAGATGTATTGAATTTGAAAAGTGCAAAGTATTTAGTTGTGTATTTAATTCGAAAAGAAGGGGACGAAAGATTTGAAGCTGGATTGTTCAAGAATTTTTTGATTGGCTCTGAGAGTGTTGAGTTCCTTGATATATCCAAAGGAAATAGGGCATCACCCACATGCTTATATGTAATTTGAATCCTACGAATGAGAATACATTGTCGTTGAAGCGGTGTGCGAATTTGTTTCAGAAGTAATGATTTGGGGAAGCAATAGAAATACAGCCAAAAGAGCATAAAAAATAACAGGATTGTATTGCCCATAAAAATGAAAAGATTTACAGCTAATAATCTTTCACAAAATATGGCAAGTATCTTTCCCTCTCGCGGAAAGCTTTAACTTGAATCATTCGGCACAGCAATTCTTCGATCTCTGAACAAGTCAGACTTGCACCGGTTCACTCACCCAAACAATGTCCTTTTCATCCGATACGTTCTGTGAATGACTAGCATCTATGATTTTTTGTTCGGCAGACATCTCGATCTTCCCAAGCCACTCGCCTTCATATCGATTCTGATTTCTGGGCACCGACTTTCTTCACGCCAATTGCAAAACCTTGATCCGTCACAAGAGCTTGATCAAGATGATAGCCTTTAACAAAGCAACTAGAGATGAATCCAGCAACAGCAAATAAACACATGACAATCCAAATGGTCTTGATCGATTTTGCGGAAACAAGTCTGAAGTCCACCACTCCAGGAGTATCAGGTGGCAGAGCATTGATCAAGGGTATCAAAGCCACTGCATCCATAACTACTTTGCCAAGAGTATACCCAAACTGTGCTGCGAGTATGGTAAAGTCCGGGATGGCTCTGAGTTCAGTAAGTATTCGATTTTGAAATACGACCCCTCCACTGACTTCTGTTAGTATAGTCCCCCATAGACCCTAACGATATGTTCCCGCTTTTTCTGCAAGGGCTCCAAAGATCATAGCCATGGGAACAATAGTGAGGGTCTCCGGGAGAGCAGCGACACCGGTCATTATTGATGTGTAGCCTTGAACGGACATAAAATAGAAGGGCACATAATGGATGATCGACCAGAGGATCATACCGTGCAGGAAGGTACAAGAATAGGCAATGGACGTGGAACTATTGCGGAACAGTCGAGTTGGTATGATGGGTCTCCTGGGAAGCATCGATTCATATGCACAGAAACCAACAAGACCAATGGCGCCCAACAGCAGGGGGACCAGACTATGCCAGCTTGTCCATGAATAGCTCACTCCGTCCCATGTCAGTAGAATAAGGAATGAGTTCAAAGATCCCACAAAAATAATCGATCTGATGTAATCGATTTTGGACAGTTTTTCTTCGATTGTTCCTTCCTTTCTTTCCAACTTCAAGAACCAAGCACATCCTACAAATCCTATTGTGATGACGGGTAAATTGAGGAAGAAAATCCATCTCCAAGCATTATTCTCAGCCAGAGCACCTCCAATCAATGGTCCAGTGACACTTCCTGAAGCCCAAACAACTTCTAAGACAGCCATCGCATTTCCTCTTTGGCGTAATGGAACCATATCAGTTATCAAAGCTTCTGTGAGGACAAGAACACCCCCAACGCCACTTCCTTGGAGACAGTGACCCACCAATAAGGATACCATGCTGTACGCTACTCCTCCCAGAACAGAGCCAACCGTAAACAGAAGGAGGGAAAATAATAGCAGTGGTCTGCGTCCGAATACATGTGATAGGGTTATGAATACAGGCTACCAGACGGTAGAAGTAAAGAGGAAGGATGTACCGGCCCAGAAAGCCTCAATTGCATTTCCATTAAGAACCTCAGATATTGTCTACACAAATGCGGTTGGAAATGTTAGAGGTGAGTTCGAGTGAGAGGATTGATTTGAAGAACTGACTGGTAAAGCGACTGCTATTGTTGTAGCATCCAGTGCACAAGCAAGATTAACAATCAATATAGAGGTACATGCAGCGATATATCTCTTCCCTGGCTTGGATGCTACCACCGGTTGATGGCATGCTGTCATAGTGGTGGATGGTGCCATGCCTGCTGGACCCTGGATTGATCTGAAGTTTTTAGATCATCAAAGAGGATATTGCGCAGATCAGAACTTTGTAAAGAATACAACCAGAGAATATAATCAAAGTACAGGTCAACTATCGAGTCGACTGTTCCATGACCATCTATTGGCCAAGAAAGCTCTTCTGCAGCAAGCGGGATCTGCAGGTTTAAGAATATTCGTAAGTGTTCACTATGGGGACATTATTGGAGAGGAGAAAAGAAACATTCAACAAAATGGTGAGACAGCATACAAAAGTCAAAACACATACTCTTTGTGCACAAGTCCGTCGTAAGCTCTAGCTAGAACTCAAGACCTGCTCGGGAGATACGGATATAAAAACCACATAACAGGAAACGAAATTGTCCCAAGCTACATGGTTGACCAGAAGCATAACGGCAATAATGATAAAACTTCATTTATTCAGAGACACTGCTTTACGCCAGCAAAACAACACAATCATGAACCACCTATTCGGGTGCACATTTAGTGTTTCATTTGTGAGAGACTACTGATGCAATGAGCATCATCGATACCAAGGAGTAGGTGAAATATTATAGGGGGAGTCCATCGAAGCCTGGAGAGTCTGAGTGTCTAACTTGTGGTGTTTGTCTGAGAACAGATGGTTTAAGAGCTGGAAGGATACTTCCTGACCTCCTCCACATTCAACATCAGTCATTCCTATTTCTAGTTCTTAGTCATTGTTACTACACACACTTAGCCAATTGAAAAGATCAATGGACATCATTCTAAACATTGTCTGCTGGTAACTTCGACAGGTTTCGTTGGTATTGCTGGTGTGCTTACCATCGAGCTTCGAATCAAGTGGACACATCATGATTAGCACATCAACATTGATGAGTCTGTTGGCTAAAAGAGCGATGGTCATGACTGGCGAACACCATTGAGCTCCTCATCAAGAGGATCGAAGGAGGGAAAGCAAAAGAGCCATGAATGAAGCATTTATCCTCCTACCTGCGATGTAGTTGTAAGTTCCATCGTTTGATGAAGTCCACTTCAAACGTCCAATCACGTGCCAGGAGTAAGAACCTGAACCCTGCATCGCACTAAACCATTTTGGCTCATTGGGAGTTTACATTTCTTTCAATGGATTTCTCGCAGTATATATTAGACTTTCCCTACGTTTTCAATCTTCATGTTCTCATAAATCTTTCAATCTTATCAAGTGGTGGGAGAGATAGGGTTCAATTATCCAAAGTGAGTCTAGACTATCATATTTCATTGACTCCTTTAGGTCTGGATTCTTCTGTTCTCTCTGCCCTGAATTCTGCATGATGGAGTGACTCTAAATCTCCACTCTCATTCCTGGTCAATCGCGTAGTATCTGCATTTGTATCCTCCAATTCATTCGGCCTCTGACGTCGGATATTACCCAATGTCATCAATTCCGCTGGCTTTTTGTTTTTTGACGCTGCACTTCGGCCCCCACTGGATCCACTTGTATTACGATCTCTATCACTCGTTATAGCGGAACCATATAGGCGTCGCGCTGATGCAGTGATGCGATTTAAAAGTGGACGAAAGTTTGGGAGACAAGCACAAACTATTGCCATTCCAACGTGGACAGCCGACCACAATTCTGCTCGTGGAAAGTCGACATTTTGACTACCAGGAGCATATCCAAGAACCACACGTACAATGCCTGTGACTATGACACTTTGATGGTGTTAGTATGAACAGATATAGGAGAACTTCGACACACTTACAAACTTCCAAGTAGGAAGATGCCTCCAACCAATACTTTTTGGGAATTTGGCATTTGAAGTCCAACAACAACACCTATTGGCAATACCAGGATGCCAATATCGACCACAATTTCCACCAGACCCATAACCATCCAATAGATGTTGAAATTAAAACACCAGCCGCCTGCGGAATGTCCAATCCAAAATCTGGTTGCCGGGACACAGCTGATACCAGTAGCGATAGTACCAACAAGCCACCATACTATCACCAAACTCATGAAGGTCCAAAATGAACGTACCAAACTAGTGGAGAATATACGACGATACATTAGAAGGATGGAGATTTTGATAGCCGTCACAACGGAAAAGTAAAGGATGGCGCATGTCCATGACATCTTCAGATAAACGACATGAGGAGTATAATCGAAAGTTGGATCATCGCGATCGATTGTCTCGCCACCATTTGGGTCTGATTTGACGCCTGGAATAATTGGTTATGACTATGTTGAGATACTGAACTACCATTATTTTATCACGTACCATAGAGGAGGAGACTACCAGTTATAATCAATAACAGAAGACCGATCAAAATCCACCAATCATCCGCCGCAATACCAGCTTTAGTCAATCGTCTCGTTAAGAATCGAAGGGCGACAGCGATAACTGCTAATATAGTAACGATCAGAGCAGCAGTTGTCGTATGTTGAGAAGTTTCACTCGACATGACTGGTTTCGTCGACGAAAATCATTTATGTAATAAAGTTTATTGAGCCTCCATAAATATTTTCTGCAAAGGATATTTCACCATCTTATGATTCAACAAGTTACACGACATCTCTCAATGATCAGCCGCTCGAGGTAGAAGTAAGAAAGTACAAATGGTGGAGCCGTACAACAAATATATGTTGTGACTACTCGCCCAAGAAAATATCACAGGCAAAAAAGAAAGACAAGAACATGATAGGTTAATCAATGATCACAAAACTATATCCGCGTACCTTTCGTCCGAATCTTTTGGGGGCCAAACGCACCGTTGAATATGTAAATGTGCATCAAAAGCCATATTAGGCCGTTGTTCTTGACTAATAGCCTGATATTACATGTCCATTTCATCCTTCAGGACTTCCAATTACGTTTTTAACCTCCCAACCTTGAAAATTTTCCGAACGTGAGATTTATTGGCAGTTATGGCTGTAGGCATCATTTAATAATCGAAATATCTAATCCTTATAACCTAGGACTCTAAGGAAGATGTAGTAGGACAATTACGCGGTGAGGAATCTTGGAGTATGGTTGTTGGTTGATATATAATTACCTACCTACCTACTCTATCTACCTATACAAAATCGTAAGATCAAGCACTAATAATTAAGCCTTCGAGAGAATTTTCCCTTATAATATTAGGTTACCCTTTACTATCATCCATCATTCATCATCCATTCATGATGTTGTGATACCCACGCCTTTAGGTTGACAGCTACCTACCACATGAGCAATAATTAATAGGATTATTTATCATCCTAGAATTCTAATCTTAGCTCATCGGCTCCGTATAATCTCACCTCCGAGTTATCTCCCTCCCGGCATTACAAGGTACCGTCTCTTCCCGTCCCATGCTTATGTGATCCCTTGCAAGATTACCTGTATACTCTTTCCGTACTCCGCGTGTATGGTTTTAGTAAACTGCGTTACGCTAAGCAGGGATTGGAGAAAAGATACTTGTGCTCTAGTTATATGAGTTAGAGGATTATTATAATATTTACTATTTCTAAGAAAGATATATAAGAAAGATTTTTATTTTTAATCTATTAAAAATGTTTATTTAATATAATATAATTTAATTTATAAAATGTTAAAATCATATTTAATTTTACATTTTTATTTTTATCAAAATATTAAAAATATCATTACATATAAAATAAAAATATATATAAAACCTCTTGAAAATTATATATTTTATTAATTTTTAATATTCGATATTTAATTATTTAAAAACCTTATAATGAGTCTGGCCCACCAGGCAGTCCATACGTGGATTGCGGCACAGCGCAATGCTTACCAGTAATCCGGTAGTATCACCATATGCCGCATCCCAATCCCATCCAATAACCCCATCGAATCAATACTCTATCGAATGAAAAAAAACAAAAACAAAGCAAAAGCCAAGCAAACACTACCGTCGCAGTGCCGCATTATTGCGTGAGGGAAAACCTTAACATCGACCCACTTTTTCCTAGAGTAATCTCACATCAGATCTTTTGTTGAATACCACATCTAGTCGGTTGGAAGGTAACCTTATTAACTTTTTTCGTGAGAGAAAAAGTAAAATTCTAAGTTTTTATTTTCATAAGGATTTGAGAAATATTTTACTTTAAAGGAGAGTGGAATTGAAGTTACACGGGTTATTGGGTATCTATCGATATCGTGGTAAGATTATTTTGTAGGAGAGAAAGGGAGAAAAGGGTGATTTTTCGTTGAAGGAACTTCGATTCTTAAGGACCTTCCTTGAGAGCTATCTATTCTTTCTATTTCTTCAGTTTGGTGTCACTTCAAACACTATCAAGATGGATTTTTCGAAACCTATGAATATCGTCATTGTAAGTTATCCTTCCGTTGATACCCCATTCCAATTCTCAGATATTTCACCTCTCCGCTCCGCCAATCTTCCTCCATCTCCATCTCTATTTCTATCCCCGCCGTCAATTCATCATATCCACCTCCACCTCCACCTCACTCCAAAACCCCATACCCCATACCCCAACTAACCCTCCCCTCCCCAAAAAGATAGGCGGATCCAACACGGGCCTAATGCACGGGGTAATGCTCTCGCACCTCCCCATCCCCCATCAAATAACAATCCTCGAACGCAACCCCTCAGACATCCGACCAGATCTTGCAGCCGGCATAACCACGTGGCCCGAATTCGAAGAATTCATGAAACACCACGATCGCGTTGATGAAGCATGGTCTATTCATTCCCCTGGCGTGCAATTCTTGGATAAGGATGCGAAAGTTAAGAGGAAGATGGATAAACCGTTGAAGATGACTAGTTGGAGTGTTATTTATCATCGGTTGAGGAGGAATTTCGATGGGTTGAAAAGTGGCTTTTGTGATGGGGAGGTGCGGGGATTAGGTGAGGAAGATGGAGTAAGTGGAAAGGGAGAAGGAAAGGGAAAACGGGAATTCCTAACAGGCATGAGTGTTACTTCTCTCACCAAAGTTGAAGATGGTGTAGAAATCACTTATGAAGACCTGAAAGATTCCAGCAGAGAACATAAACTCAAAGCCGATATGGTAATACTAGCCGACGGCGCAAATTCTACTCTCCGCGCAAAATTCTTTCCAGATGTTAAGAGAGAATATGCAGGTTATGTAGCATTTCGGGGTACCGTTCCCGAATCCGAGGTTTCGGCCGAGACGAAGAGTATTTTCGATCCGAACTTAACGTATTTTTCTTATGATGGTGGATATATTCTTTTGTAAGTCAATTCTTACAATTTTTTCTATATCAGAAATCAAGCTAATAAAACATAGATACATAATCCCCAGCTCAAGTGGCTCCTTAGCCCACGGTGACCGCCGCTACAACTGGGTATGGTACCACCCAGTATCATCCTCCACCCCCTCCTTCAAAGACCTCATGACCGACACAACGGGCGTTCAACACCGCACCACTCTCCCAGCAGGTCTCATGAACCCCACAGCCTGGACCCCCTACCTTACACTCTCCCAATCCGTCATGACAGCACCATTTGCAGAAGTAATATCCAAAACTCCCTCTCCCTTCATAACAGCCATCAACGACTCTACACTCCCTCGAGCACTCATCCCAGGATTCGATAACAGAGTCTTAATTACTGGAGAGGCGCTCAATCTCATGAGACCGCATATGGCATTGAGTACGACGCAGAGTGCGATGCAGGCGCTTTTGTTAGAGAAGGTTTTTAAAGGGGAGATGGGATTACAGGAATGGGAGAAGAAGATTTTGAAGTGGGGCCGTTTGGGGCAGTGTAAGACGAATGCGTTTGGGTTGTGGAATTTGAGGGGTTTGAAGGCGGCTTTGCCTTGGGTTTTGAGGTTGGTGGGGGTTTTGGTGGGGATTTTGTGATGGGGTTGGGAGAGAGGGTGATGGAGGTAGGTTGGGAGGGGAGAGGGCAAAAGGGATGAAAAGGAAAGGGAAGGAAAGGAAACGAAAAATCCTCAAATTACTTGGAGTTAGCATCAAGCACTCATACTCTATTAGTTTTCAATCAACGCCAGACTACAAATACAAAATGAAATAAACGTAAGTACGAATATAAGCATGAGTTAATTTCAGCGAAAGAACAAAAGAGGAGATGAGGCATATGTAACCCAAGTGATGATGGCAGTAGGATAATTAGATATTAAGAAATAAATTTGTATGTGTATATACTTAGAGAGAGATGTTACGTAGTAACAGTCAACCTGTCCATATGAGCTTAGACCCCGTGGAAAAGCAAACCGATTCACATACAAAATTGTATGGTAATCGGTTCGTAGAGTCTCCCCACCTTCAGCAAGCACAGACATATAGTCTGATCCAAGTCACGTGATGGACCCTGCATATTCAGGGATACGAATCGTAGGTCCATACGAATCGAAGGTCCACAAACTCTCAGGATCCAAGAGATCCAATGGAGGACGAAGGTCTATATAATCAGGATGGTTTCCTTTGTGTAGAGCTTCGTGCTCAAGATCAATCATTTAGTATATCCTACTATTAGTTACGAATTGCATATCATTATTGTCATTACTTAAGTCCCTGCTTGACGCCTAGTTATAAACCACCTCGAGAGCCTAGAGCACTTCCACGTGATCTAGACGGCAAACCTCGTAACAAGAGATAAATGCATCTTTTATTTATTAAATGATTATTAATTTTAATTATATTATATTTCAGTTATAATTATATATATTATATTATTAAAAAATCTATTTTTTTAAATTATATATAAGAATTTAAAATCTAAAAATTAAATAATAAAAGATAAATTGAAATCTTTTAAATCTTTTAAATTATTCAAATTATTTATTATCTGTCTACCTATCCGTCTTACTTTTGATATATAATTACACTTAATTTTCTTCTTCATTTATACAACCTCCAACTATCTCTACAAATCTGTACAAATTTATCTTTTCTCCATCTCCACCCTACATCTCCACCCTACATCCCCTCCCCACCCATCCCCTTATCCGCCATAAACAACCTCGTTAACTCCTCTATCTTTTTACTCAATTCATCAACTTTACCCTCCAATCTTCTTTCCCTCTCACTTATCCTTTCCCTTTCTTCCTCTACCCCCCCATCATCATTATTCCTCCTATCCTCCCCTCCCAATCCACTTTCCTCCGCAGAAATCATGATGCGCTTATTAACCTTCCCCTTCCCCTTTCCATTTCCATTAGCATTAGCATTAGCATTAACATTACCAGAATCCGAACAACCCGCTCTCAACCCCCTAACATTCCCCTCCCACTTCCCGGTAACCAAAGGACTCGCCTCTCCATCAACAATATTTGGTCCATCCAGAAAATGTAAAGATTGATTCGTCCCAATACGACTTGTCAGAAATTTCTTCTTAGCTTTTCCCTTATATGCGGGTTCGTTATTACCGAGTCCGCTATTAGTAGGTGTAACGGGTGCTGTAGCAATTGATGTATGAGGAAAAGAAGACGGATCTTGAATACGTTCATAAACGCCTTCGAAAAGATTAATCGCCAAGACGATTGGAGCATGTGTTGCTTTTAGTAATCCGATACGAGTGCGACGGAGAGTAGAAGAACTCATGAAAAGTCTCAGGGGTCTGATGAGGATGAGAGGAATGAGATTTAGTGGAGGATAGAAGTGTGTGAGTCGATTTGATGTCGATGCTTCGAGGACATAAACTGAATATACAAATAGATATTCTTCTCTAGCGTGGCTGATGACTTTTGAGAAACTATCGCTGAGGATACTGATCAAGGATGTGATGAGAAGAATATTAGTCATGCAGACGAAGATGAGCATCAGGGGCGCACCAAATTCTTCGGAAATTTGATACATGATGTCAAAACCAAGGTATGAGGAACCGAAGAAAACTTTAATTAACACCCAGGACATCTCTTTGAGTGTAAACGTATCGCGCGCAAGAAGAGTAAACGTGGTCAAAAAACCTGCGTATATTATCCCAACTATGACCATGAATTTGACGAAATCTTTCGCCATTTCTTTTAGACAAGGAATTAGAGTCCCGAAGTAGGGATGAAGGCTGAGAAGTGAAAAGATCCTGATAAATGTCAGTCTTGTTGCGTTGACACAAAGATAACTATTATCTCATCTCTCCTTCAATCACTAGCTGGTGCATGCAGTGGTGATAGTCACCGAATTCGGTCAACTAACCTAGGAACCATGAATAACGCCTCCAGTGATAAGATATCAAAAGCCAAGTCAGTGATTCTGCCACTATCCTTCGTTAAGCCAATTACACCTAATCAATGTCAGATATTGTTTCAACGCCTGGACTAAGGAGACGAACGTGTGAGTAGGAATGCAACTCCAATTAATATAATCATCAAATCGCAGCCATTCCATATATCAACAGCATAAAAGATTGACCCTGCATCTATGAACTCTCCAAGTTCATCATAAGCAAAAGCAGCAAACCAAACGTAGAGGAGAACCTCAAGCGCAGTAATTTGATATCTGTGATATGTTAGGCATAGAGGGACTCATAACAGCAGAGCACTTACGGATTTCGTTCAACAAGAACTGCATAGTACAAAAACAAGAAAGAAGCAAAAAATAAAACCTCAAATGCCTTGATGTATCTCGGCACTCGCAATCTCGAAAATGGATCTGACTTCCTTCTGTTGTAAAATTGAGCTTTCTTTTGTGTATGTTCGCTTAGAGTTTCCCAAAAAGTAATATCCCCTTTCCAAATCCCCGTTATAATCTTTTGAACAATTCTCTGACTGAGGAATTTCTTGCAATCAGCTACTGCTGCAATTTCAAGACCATTTAATCCAGTAAAAGAAGATGTTGGATCATCCTCATCATCGTCCATATCATTATGAGTGAAGAAAGTCCCTATTGACCGCAATAATTCGGTTTTTTTGTTCTGGCTAGGTGGTCGAGTACCAGGAGGTGAATCCCGTTCTCTGAACTGTGGCAATAAAGTAGAATGTTCCGTAGTTTGACTTTCCTCTGCTCCTTCCATTCGCTGAAGGGTAGGTAGAGGTAGTTCATACAAGCAAAAGCTAACTGCGTCTCGTTCTGATATACGGCTCAAAAATCTCCATGCTACTATTTCACATGCGCTTGCTCGAGTTTCGTTGATTCCGCGGTCATCAACATCTAGAGTAGAGAAGTGCCATTTTAGTGTTCTGGAGTAGTCTCAGTTATTTGTATACAATTGTAATTTACATGATACTGACAAGATCGCATTTATAATTGCAGGATTGGTAACATTTTCGACGAGATGTTCAACAAGTATTCTTATCCTATTGCCCGCCGACGTCGTACGCAATTGGTCAAAGGTTGAAGGCAGGACAATTTCATCGACGAAGTATCTAACATTGTGGATTAGATAAAGGTCATAGTATATCAGTTTTCAGCACACATACATCGATAAAGTCTTCACTACTTTAACAAAAGGATCATCATGAGCAATTGCTGGTAGTTTCACCGATTTCTGTCCCTCAAATAGCGAGTCAGCATCCATGGTGCAATAAGTAGGCCTACTGGCAGTTAATGCGAAAATGTCTTGATTCAACTAGGGCATTGAGGTGGTTGTTGTTTTTGCTGTTGAAGTTTTACATTTACACGATCTAGAACTATAAAATATCTACAGGGGTATTTCTACCCTGAGCCACAACGGGGGATGCCGCCACTAATAAACGTCACCAAGGATACACGGAAACACAGCTAGCTAGCTTCAGGCAGTAGCTTGACTTCGCCATCCACCCCGCATTCCGTTTGCTCCATATGAATTAAATTTGTTTGTATTTCTCGAAGTTTGATATTATCACATTCTCGACATATAACTCTTCCAGCCGTTGAATCTATCAAGTCGCCATAGAAACCTAATTCTTCCAACTTTTGAAAGCATAATTCCTCATTCTACCTACCGTTGAAACTTCCCATCATAAATCCATCACCTCACGCCAAAATGGCCAATAATCCACTCAGTCCAGATTCTATCCTACACCATATGGCAGAAGCTCTACCTACTCATCAAAAAAACGATACCAATTCAGATATAAGCAGTTCTTATGAAGCCATAGCACTTTTCTGTCATGCATGTATGATCGCAGTAGGATTCCGACTTCTCGGATTCGGAGAAGGACAAAAGAATGGTAAGTTCACTACCAGTTCCATCTAAAGCATGCATTATTAATAAATCATCAGAAGCAGAATGCGCACAACTCTCTCCACGTTTATCAACGAAATGGAATTCTTCTTTCGGATCTCATTCTTTCCTTTACGCACATTCGCAATCTTCCATGCAATACGTGGTGAAAGTCGATCGATTAGGAGGAAAGGCAGAAATTAGAGGGATAGGACTCGGTGATGAAAGAATAACACGTTTCGAAATCACAGCCAAAGATTATATCTCTTCCGCTGCTCTGCCACTTCGAATACCTTTTTCAAATGATGAAGAAGATCGCACAAATCTCGAATCAAAACTCCAAGAGATTTTTATCTCTCCTTCCAGAATCGCAGATCTTGCTTCCTTATTCAAGATAAACATTATCCAAAAACTTCTTCCCTCCCTACAAAAAGAAGGTTATGAGGAATCTCGAAATCAAGGCGAATCTGAAGCCTCTCGAGTTCACGATGAAAGAGAAGAACAACATGCTCGACGAAATCCACCTCGAAATCCTCTTGCAGACCCAAATCTTCCAGCACCAGCACGTCCATATCCCTTCCACGATCCTCTTGCCGACCAACCACGTCGCCCTATCCCAGCAGGCGATTTCCCACCTCCTGGTTTTGACGACGAATTAGATCTCAACCGACCTTTACGGGGTATGGTTCAACCAGCAGGTTCACCCTTCAACATCGGTCACGATGATTTACATCCACCGGGACTAGGTCCTAATGATCCTTTACGTGGTTCATTTACAGGTGGAAGAGGAGCTGGTGGTCTAGGTGGTTTCGGTGGTATGCATCCTACATTTGACGATCCATTATTTGCCGGACAAGGACAAGGACAAAGAGGTACTGGTAGAAATGGAGGGTTTAATCCGCAAGTTCCGCCGGGAGCAAGATATGATCCGTTAGGACCAGGTGATGGACCTCAGAGGGGAGGTGGTGGAAGACCACCTAATCCATTTGGTGGGTTTGGAAGTGGTGATTTTATTTAATTTAGGAAGGAAAGCAAATTAAGGGAATATGTATAAGGGAATATGTATGATTGAAATGGGAAAGGAAAGGAGCTGGGAGGTATTATGATTTTATTTATACACACATAGGACAGACACTACTACGATATAACGATTATGACAAGCAGGTTTCTCAAGGAGGAGGCGTTAGGCGATGGGAAAATGAAGGGGAAAATGGAAATGAAGCTGGGACTATTAGTATTATTTCCCCCCCTGCCACTCTGCGAAACGAAATACTATCATCACCAAGTTGTTTAAATCTATTTATTCATCTACGATATTGATTATTTCATTTCATTTCATTTCACACGGATTATAACTCTTAACTCTTGAATCTGTGCTCTAATCCTAAGATTCAATATGTGATATGATATACCTCTCAGTCTCCAAGTCAAGATACTCGTATGCAGTATGAATATCAATATCATTGGTAATATGAATATGAATATCAATATCAATATCTCTAATAATGTAAGCTTAGATATATATATATATATTTTTTAATATCCTAACTCCTACCACTTACTTATACCTAGGTAGGTAGGTAGGTAGGTAGGTAAGTATGTAGGTAGGTAAGTATGTAGGTAGGTATTTATTTACTTCCACCTTAACCTTCCTTCAACAATATTCGTTTTACTCATTTCTTCATTTAATGTACTCATTAACCCCGTCCGTGGCTTTCATTTCTTTCTTTCTTTCTTCCTTTCCTTTCTTCCCATCTCTCATCCTAGAATGTAAGATTACATTACACGATTCCTTTGAAAATATCCATCATCTATCTATCTCTCTATTATCCTCGTCTCATCTTCTCATCTCATCTCATTACCGACTTATGCTGTTCATTCATGCATGCATGCTCATGCTCATTCCTATCCCAGAACGTAAGAAAGTAAGAAAAAGAGAAAGGAAAAGAGAAAAGAAGAGAAACCAGAACCTCAGCTCAGCTCATCTCAACCAGCTCAACTCAATGACCCGTTAACTTTCCCTTCAAACCCCCTAATAAACTCTTCCTCTTATCCTTTTTCTCCTCCACCTTCTCACTTCCAGTCGGTAAACTCGATGTATCCGAGGCACCAACTAACGATGCAGTGACAGGAGAAGTAGGAAGTTCCGGAACCTCATCATGTATACTTTCTTGCTGAGTTGGAGCTTTTGATAGTTCACCTGCTCCATCCAAGTTGGGGTTTGGATTTAATTGGTTTGTCGTCGTTGTTTTCTCTGGTTCTGTTGTTCCGTTTGTGATAACCTTTTCTGTTGGATCAGTTATTGATAAATTGTTTAATCCATCTTGAGCCGTGTGAAATGTTTCTAATTCTGGTCTTGTGCTGGACACTGAGTCACCGTTTTGAATTACAGGTTCTTCTTTGGGAATTTCCTGATTCAAAGGGGAATCAGTTGCGGAAGTTGTCGTCATGATTGAGGGAGCTGCTGTGGGTACTTCGAGTAATTCTGGATGAATAGGTAATGCATTTTCTGTGGTGGCATCTGTTGCGATTGTTCCCATGTTGTCGCTATCCTTGATAGTCTTTTTGACTTTGCATACTTCTTCTCTCCTCTGCTTCTTTTCAATACTTCCAACTGCAATTGCTTGAATTGACTCTTGATCTTTCGTATTTACCCAGTACAGAGGTCCGCCCGGATATGCTGGAGTGCCAGTTCCATTCCAGGTAGCAACTGCTTCTAAAGCTGGATCCAAGGTAGGCATATCCCCAAACTCAAATTCTAACTCGCCGCCATACTTTTTGGGAATGTTTCTAGGCTCGATAAAAGATTCTAATGTCGACTTTACATCGTTGTGACTGATAATGAAGATTTTGGAAGTTGTTATCGGATCGAACCATTTTTTAACCCAACCCCAAACAGTTGGAAAGAAACTAGGAGCACCAATGATCTGACAGAACAGTTAGAGAGTTTAAAGAATCCCTAATCGATGTATAACTTACAAAAATGCGATCAAGAGTCTCTGGGTAATGTGCTGTAGCCAAAGTACTTGCATCTTGCATATGCGTTCTCAGATTCCAAAATTGTTTTAACCCAACTCCAGATATGTCGACAATGTTATTACTTTGTGTTATAGGCGTTCGAGGATTATCTCTGTCTGTGAGAACTGTGCATAAAGGCATAACAAATCGCGTAAGGTTTTCATATAAAGCGAATAACCGTAGTAACTTCCCAGAGGTCTTGCCATCTTGCTTGGATTTTGTATGTGTATCAACAGCGGACTTCTCATATGCTGCCATTCGTTTGCCGGTCAGATAAGATACTTCAAAAACGTACACAGGGATACCACGTCGGTCGCGTCGCCCTGTCCATTGTGGGTACTATATTTCAATGATTAGAAGGGATGCGATTGAATGTAGAAAAGGGACTTTACAAGTCTGCGCGTCTCTTCGTAATGTTCTAAATCGATAGTCTCATACAATTGATCCAACTCATTATCTTTCCGCCACTGCTCAGTGTCCGAAAACTGTTTAAAAGCATCTGCTACAATAAACCGACGCGCCCGAAGAAATCGTCTAATGAGTCGTTAATGCGCCTGTGGAAAATATGGAAAGGGAACGGAAACGTACAGAAGTGTAGCATCTTCGTGTGTTGCCGGTTGATCAATTCCATTTCCAGGCTTGTACAAACCCTTCTCAGTGCATAATACTTTGAAGTTGTTCAAAGCAGCTTCTTCCTCTGTTGTAAGATGACCAAGATGACCTTGGGGAAATCCATATTCTACTACCGCTGACTGCACTCTATGAGCAGGACCCGAAGACATGATTATGAGATATTCAAGTAAACCAAAAAATAGAGAGAAGAAGAGTAATGTATGTAAATGTAGAAATAGTAAGCAGTAAAAAGGGAAAAAGTTATATATTTTGATTTACAGCTCAGTGTCTGGACTTCGGCTTTTTCAGCGGGTCCGTCGGAAGCTCGTCATACCAACTTTTTTGATGACAACTTTTGTTGGTAAGTAAGTTTGTTGGTAATAGTCGCGGACAACCAAATTGACTTTTATTACTAATGCAAGTCTAAGAAGCAAATAAGAAAGGATATTTCATTTAAATAAGAAGCGTACCGATACAAAACATGCTGTTGATAGAGAGTCATGTAGAAAAGGAAGAAAAGTTTGAGGGATTCCAGGATTTCGGCATTATCCTTCCATGTCATCATAAAAGGCGATAACAGAAGGGAAAGCCGAGTATCCCGACGAAAATGAGTTAGGTTGGTCGGTCTGTCGGTGTTAGGAGTCTAACCTCGAACCTTCCTCAGTTGACGGAGTTTGTATTTGGTGAAGGTAAGGTTAACACCGAGAGAAGAAGGAAAAAAGTCTTAGCCAGAGGATCTTTGGATTATCAAAGAACTTGAACTTTGAACTTGAACTTTGTTTATTAGATTTGATCCAAAGGAGTGATTTATATACAGACAATGGACATTGAAGCTGTTGCCAGGCGAATATCATTTCTGATAATAGAATTTGATGCTGTATTTATAGTAGACCTCAACATTTGGATTTATCAGCATTCTCACCCATCGCTGTGAGTATCTAGTAAGATGTGACAAAAAATGAAAGAGCTTCATGAAAGAAGATTAGCTATTCAATCCAAACATCGATCGGGGTCTATCTCTTGTATTTATAATTTTCTAAATAGCTGACACAACAGTCCTGACACAGCAGTCCTGACATATGATGATGAAAAAAGCATTGAACATGCAATGCCATGCCATGCCATACCATACCATGCAATCGCGTCCCCTCCAAAATCTGCGGATAACACGCGAATAACCCCGCCAAATCACGGCCATCTTCTCTGAGTTCCATTCAATCAATCAGTCACTAGACACTCACCCCACTTCATACATTATACATTGCGCCATTTACACATTCTTAAAGAAGACTTCCTCTTCTTATTAATTCTATCATCGATGTTCTCTCGTTTCTCACAATTAGCAAGACATCTTTCTCGTCCCTTGCCAAATTACGCCCATAAATCTGCTGCCGTTTCTACCTTTTCGATTAAAGTCATGACATCATCATCTGCCGACGAGCGTAACTCGAGAACAATTCATACAGCGGCATGTTTGATCATTGGTGATGAAGTACTCGGGGGAAAGGTCTGTTATTCAATCATGTATGCGGTTGGAGATTGTAAAAGATATAATGGCTAATTTTTGGTGTTGTGCAGACTGTCGATGTAGGTTCGAAATATATGAAGGAGGAAAATTAAATATTGACGGTAATGGCAGACAAACTCGGCATTTTTGGCAAAATTCTGCTTCAAGCATGGAATAGTAGGATATCCAAGGCAAACTTAGGGAGGACTCCTGATTTTGACTTTCGAATAGAACTTAAAGCGTGTTGAAGTTATTGCAGATGATGAAGATGAAATCATTGAAGCTGTCAGACGCATGTCCAGCAACTATGATTTTATAGTCACCTCTGGTGGAATTGGTCCAACGTACGTTTCGAATCCCAAGACATACCCCGACTAACAGGATTAGACATGATGACATTACCTATCAATCCATTGGAAAAGCATTTGGACTCAAATTGAAGCTGCATCAAGAAGCTTATGAAAGAATGAAGAGGTTGTCCAAGCCCCACCCATCTCAACCAAACTTCAACTGGGATGAAGATTCTCCGGCAAAGAAAGCCAAACTTCGAATGGTTGAATTACCATTAGATGAATCTCGAGATTTATCAAAGCAAGTTATATTCCCATGTGAAGATCTTTGGGTTCCAGTCGCTTGTATCAATGGCAATATACATATTTTACCCGGTGTTCCAAGACTATTCGAGAGGTTATTGGAGGGGTTAAAACCATATCTTCTCCCTCGGTTGACAGATCCTGAAGGCAAGGGAATTTGTAGAATTATGATTTCTACTCCCATGTCAGAGAGTGCAGTGGCACCATATCTTACAGAACTAGCTGCTAAAGTAGAACCAAAAGGTGTCAAGGTTGGAAGTTATCCAAGGTGGGGAAAGGCACATAATACCGTTACTTTAGTTGGAAGGTAAATAACACTCACTAGCTTCAATGGACATCACTGACAATGAAATAGGGATCAGGAATACTTGGAGAGTTTAATTCCCGAAGTGACAAAGAATGTTGATGGTCATCGTGTATTGATAGAAGGAGAAGATGATGTGGAAGGCGAACATAAGGTGTACGATATTCCCCAATTATTTCCATCCTCTTAACATTTCCTAACATCTTCCAGAACATCTCAATAAGAAGAATATATTTTGATTCCCCTCACCTGTCAAGATTCCACCAGAGTCTTTTAGGATAAGGTAACCGACCGATACGATACAATACGACACAAGCGCTGTCAAAAAGAATCAAAAGATTGCATTATTTAACACCGTTAAGATTTAATAAAAACCCCTGAGCTCGGAACCAAACAAAAATAAATGTAAAGTAAAGTACCTAGTAGGTAGTACCTAAATAAATAAATAGTTTAAAATCTCACCCATGCATCGCATCATCTACCTCATCTTCGGTCGAAATTCAGGGGAAGGAAAAAACGGTTGGGCTTGATGACTTAAACCTGTTTTTAATCTTATACTGATTCATTTTTGTGAATATCTCATCTCATGATTCTCATCTCATCTTAGAGTTCTTGGAAATTAATAGATGCATAGGTAGGTAGGTAGGTAGGTATTGTATATATGTACGTTAATCGGTTGTGTATGAGATGAATGCTTTTGATAATTTTGGGTTTTAGGTTTGAGCTTTTAGGCATATATAGATAGGTAGGGTAGGTAGGTATAGATATTTGGATTAGGGGTTAATTGGGGATTAATTAGGGATATAATTAGGGATATAATTAGCGGATTTTTATAATACTGGTTTGGATTGGTTGGTAGGTATTGTGAAATTCTAAAGTTGTGATTTAAGCTACCTATCTACTAGTAAGATCTTACCTAGAGAATAGAACCAACCTATGATTAGGTACCTAGGTAGGTAGGTATCAAGTGATGAACTGACTGGTGAACAAGGTGTGATACAGTAGTAGATTGTTCGTCTGATATTCTGATTTGATTGATTGATTGATTACTCGGTATTGATTATAGATGGGTGTATGGATATATGGATGGATGGATGGATATGTGATTTTAGGTCCTAGAAGGGGGGATATTTTGAGTTATGGGTTATATATGGGACTGGGAGGGATTATTTCTTAGGTGATGATTGATGATTGATGATTGATGATTGATGATGATGATTGATGATTGATGATTGGATGATTGATGATTGATGATTGATGATTGATGATTGATCGTTTGATTGATTGATTGGTGATTGAGTATAAATGTGTGATTGTGATGGGTGGCACTGGCATAAGTACTTGTGACTAGGTAGTTATTATTGTGATTGTGATTGTGATTGTGATTGTGATTGTGATTGTGATTGTGATTGTGATTGTGATTGTGATTGTGATTGTGATTGTGATTGTGACTGTGATGAAAAATCGGAGATTAAAATTCCTTCTAGAAGATGGAGATGGAGATGAAGATGATGAAAGATTCCGTGGTGGAAAAGTGAAATGAGATTGTAGATTGCTGATTTGAGATGGTATTGGAGGTTTATTTGCTTAAGTGCTTAGTTGATAGTTGAGTTGAGTTGAGTTGAGTTGAGTTGAGTTGAGTTGAGTTGAGTTGAGTTGAGTTGAGTTGAGTTGAGTTGAGTTGAGTTGAGTTGAGATGATGTGATATAGTGATGGAGATGTATGTATATATGTGGATTTTATTGGATGAGGTATGGATGGATCTGATCTGATCTGGTTTGGTTGATGAAATATGAAATTTATAAAGTATGTCTCGGTTCTTTTATTAGATATTGTACTTGGATTGTCTAGATGGGTACTGGTGGATGGTTGACGAGAGATGGGAGATATACCTATCTACCCACCGGTATTATTCATTTTATAGTAATTAGGTAGGTAGAATGGGAATTTTGAGAGAGGAGGGGGAGGGGAAGAAGTTTTCCTTCTGGCTTTGATGAGATGGTATATATATATGTGTGTGTGTGTGTGTGTGTGTGTGTGTGTGTGTGTGATGATTTAGATTCTTGTTGATCTCATGCTTGGAAAGGGAATGGGGTGTTGTTGTGTAGGTCAAGGTGATGATGGAGGTGGAGGTAGAGGTGGAGGAAGGTGGATGACCTGGAAGGAAAGGGAGGGAGAGGAGATATCATTTTAGAATTGGGGATAGTAGTCCTATAGCGAATCATATAGAAAAGTCTATCTAGATACTCATATTCATAAGATATCTTTATTTGACTAATTAATTAATGCTTACAATTGACATCCTTTATAGTAATATAGTGTAGTAATATAGCATCAACTTTATCATCATCATCTAAATACCAACCAGAACCAAACCACCAAATGAATAGATATCATTCATCATAAAAATATCTAGATACCCAGATACTTTATAAGCATAATATGTTTACTTCTTACCTCTCAAGTACAGTGGTACCACTATATAGAAATGAGCATGTCTCAATTCTCGCTCATCAATTTTTTATTTATATTACTTTAATCATTACTAGGCAGGTGTGGAATGATTTCTAGAGTGATGATTATTAATTACTCCGTAGGTTTTTGGAATGTTAATTGTTCGATTGTTTAGTGGGCTTCAATGATAGCTTCGATGTTAGCTTCTAGAAGGAAATTTGGTGGTTTGATGTGTGGATGGAATTATGGATGTATGATATAATATGATATGATATGGCTAGATGGGTGTTTAAATGTATGAAGTATTTCTAGTATATTTATATTTATATTGTAATTGGATGATTAGAAATTTTGTGTTTGTGTTTGTGAAAATATTTATGGATTGAGATCTGTTTGCTCAGAATAAAATGCTCCACAAGTGGCACGGTAACAATGATGTTGTCAGCTCCTCCCTACGTATCATCCATCCAGCGCACAACGCAAACAAAAATAAGACGTACATACATTTGCCACGGGGCGCTCAGATGGAATTGCATCTTATAAGTCCCACGTTGCGGCGTAGGTTTCACCTTATTTCTGTATCCTCAAAAGACTCCTCATGGTGATATTACGTGCGTATGTATGTACGGAGTGAGCTAATTGTGTGCGTCTTGAGTTCCTCCTCACCTCGTGGGATTTCAGCCACTGACCGACTGACCGATTGACCGACCGCCTTTTGTGCTGACCGGGTCTGGATGGGGTTGTGTTAGGTAAGCGTTGTGGTGGTGGAGGTGGTGCTATGATAATGGGTTCTTACACCGGGTGTGAATGGGGAATGGTTTGGATTTTGGGATTGGGAGTTGGGTGATGATGATGATGATGATGATGGATGGATGGATGGATTGCAGATGGTGATGTCAGATGTTGGTAAATTTGATATTGATGAGTGGATTAGATAGATGTAAGTTGGTGCTTTGAATTCGACGATGATGATGATGATGATGATTATAACTTTATATATTATTGCGTTCAAAGGGTTTGTATCAAGTAGCTGAAGTGTATTGTCTTTCAGGAGTGATTGAATATCTGGTGTATCAACCAATAAAGTACTAGTATATTTATACACGGTGTGAATGACAACAACGACTAATAAGCCATAAAGTACAAAGTACAACAACAGAATAATTCATTTATCATTTCCAAATTGGATTATTCGGATCAAATAATTCAATATCCATATCATCAGCTATATCCCAAATCTCCACTTTCAAAGTAACCGGTAAGCATTCTCACTTGATGAACTGGTGCTCTACACCCCCATTGGCGATTTCGGTTATGCACCTCGATGGACGTTCTTTTCCTTTCGCAACTGCGCGGCCCCAGTTATCCTTTTACTTACAAGCTCTCATATCGAATAGTTGGAGCCTTTCTTCATGTTAGGCATTGTTAGCCTCTTAGCATTTGTGAGGTCTGTTCACCGTGTCTCCATTTTGCTACTTTTACTCCGTCCTCCTGGCTCAAGCCGGCTGGCCCTGGTTGGAAGGACTTCCCGCGTTAAACTTTCTCTGGAGAATAATCTGCATCTATTTACAACTTGCATTAAGCTTGTAACCTGACTGAACTTGAACCTGAACATCACTCTGTCTGTACCTTTTTTACAGCTTCACACTTCACTTCAACTTCACCTCACTTCCCTTTCTAATCCCATCCCCACTCCCCCATCCCTATCTTAAAATTGTAATCACCGATTCTACGATTCACCCCTACCTCTTTCTATCCTCTTTAGGTTCTATAACGGAAATAACATCTGGAATCTTTCACAATTCTATTCTCATTTGTTCCATTCAAACTTGTAACCTGTACTTTGGTCCACCACTCATCCCCGTGAAAGTGTTCAGTAGTAGAATTCTATCAAACTACTCCTGCTCACTCCAAACCCACACGACTCACATCATTTCATTCCTTACATTACATTATTTACTTGACCTCCACCTTGTTCTTATATCAAGCTTCACATCAATTATCCGTGGGAAAGGAAACAGGAAGCCAAAAAGCTCGATCCTCTTCTGTGCACATATCTTAGCAGTATCATTTTATCCTACATTCATTAAGAGAATCAGAAGAAAGGATCAAGATTTCTTTGTCCGAGCGATCATCTCTACCTCATCTAACATCTAACATCTAACGTCAACATTCTTTTTCGTATAATTACCATAATATCCGTGTCTTATCGAAAAGACACTATCATTTCACTCGTCAACTCTTGAACTCACGGAAATTCAGACTGGTCTGATCTGAAGAAGTGGAAAGGAGTTAACATTGCATTGAGTGAAGAGAAGAAGAGAAAAGAGAGAGAGAGAGAAAGTTAGAGATAGGAAAAAGAGGGTAAAGAGAGAAACGAAATTTGATAATTAAGGAGAGGAAAGGAAGAGAAATTATTTCCAATTTATTCACTCCCACTCCCCGAATTCGCCTGTACTTTTCACCTGTTACCAAAATCCATAACGGACCTGTACAATTTCTTTCAATTATCTTCCGTTCCGTCGCCGGTTTATTAATTATCTTTTTTTTATCAATTTCTCCAAATTCAGCAAAACATCAATTGTTGTTTCATCTTTTCATCTTTCAACCTTCAACCTTTTCCACCTTTCGACCTTTCGACCTTTCCACATTTTCCACCTTTCCACCCTTCAACCTTTCAACCTTTCAACCTTTTCATCTGCGATATCATTACAGTTATTAATAAAATAACTTTGATAATCGATAATCGATAACTTTCCATCCCAAACAACAAGAAACCATTAGTTCTTGGGTTAATCTTCTCTTACCTAAGATTCACCATCCTATTCATTATCGAGCCATCAACTTCTCGATTTCTTTCGAAACTCTTATCAACCTTACCTTACCTCCAAAACAATCAATCATCTTCTTACAGGGACGGCACCTTGTCGCGCAATCTATACTTCCACACCTAAACTTTCACCTAACCTTTCGACTTCGATAAGCATTCGAAGCTTTTCTTTCAAGGGGGCTTAACTTGAGGGTAACGACACACATTCCATATTAATCATTAAAGATGGCTTCAAAGGTAAGCATCCATCATCTATTTCATTGTGTATCATCAACATCACCGCTTCATGATTCTAGAATCAATTGACTAACTTGCGCTTCTTTCTCTAGTTTTTGAGAGAATATAAGCTAGTGGTAGTAGGTGGAGGAGGCGTTGGAAAATCTTGTTTGACGATTCAATTGATTCAAAGCCATTTCGTTGATGAGTATGATCCTACTATTGAAGGTATGCTTTCCATTTCTTCATCTGTCACTTCTGATCTTATCATCGCGTGGCTTGACTAACATGTTTCCTTTTCCCTCAATTCAGATTCCTATCGTAAGCAATGTGTTATCGATGAAGAAGTCGCCTTACTGGATGTACTCGATACTGCTGGACAAGAAGAATACTCTGCCATGAGAGAACAATATATGCGCACGGGAGAAGGTTTCTTACTGGTTTACAGTATTACCAGCAGACAAAGTTTCGAGGAAATCATGACGTTTCAACAACAAATCTTGAGGGTTAAGGATAAGGATTATTTCCCCATTATCGTTGTCGGTAATAAATGTGATTTGGAGGGCGAGAGACAAGTTTCAAAACAAGGTATGTTCCATTCATTCATCAAATGGAGAAAGATATTTGCGGATCCGATGCCGCATGTCACAGCATGAAGAATAAAGAACTTGGACTAATCACTTCATGAAACAGAGGGTCAACAATTAGCAGATGATTTTGGATGCAAATTCATCGAGACATCGGCGAAATCGAGAATCAATGTCGATAACGCTTTCTATGATATCGTCCGCGAAATCAGACGTTACAATAAGGAAATGGCCGGTTACACAGCTGGTGGTGCTAGCGGTGCGAATAGCGGTGGTCCACAAGGAAAGATGGAAGTAAGTGAGGGTGAGAAGGAGAGTGGATGTTGTTGTATTCTCATGTAAAGGATCACTTGCGATGGTCAGGAGGGAAGAGGTTTTATAGATATAGGTTGGGTGGATGTTGGGCGTATATTATGGTATTTGGGGACGAGATATTTTCATATTTGCGAAGGGAAGATACCAAAGAAATTTCTAAAAGGGGATGGATGGCTGGATGGACGGACCGACGTACGTTCTAGTGGATCTTTGAGGATACAATGGATATTGATGGATGGCATGGATGGATGGGTTTTCACAAATAAGATGATAGTAATTTTGGGGCGTATCTGCTGCTGCTATACATATCGGCTGAGCGCTGTGGTGGCTCTTCGTTTGTATACGAAGGTTGAGAAAGGGTGGATAGATTGATGACGATTGTGGAGGTATGCGTGGGTGGAGAATTGTGTGCTAGAAGTTTGAATGGCACGAGAAAATGGTGAAAGGTGCTAGGTGAAAGGGGAGGGAGAGAGTGGTGAGGAGAGATATTCTAAGTTCGGCCTTTTTTTTTCATAATGATACTCCTTTTTAAATGTTACGGGGATGTTTTTGTGTTTGTGTATGTCTGTAAATATATCGGGAGGAAGTGAGTGGTGAGAGGAAAATTATATGATTTTCTCAGTTTATTACTATATATAGTGTTCTTTTCTTCATTTTACATGGGAGACTTCAAGCAGAGATAAAGGTTCTCTCGAGCAAACGAGAAATCAGTTCTTTGAGAGGAGAATAAATAAGTATTCAGTGGTAAGAAGGGAGTGATGAGCAGCTGACTTTCTGGATGAGGTCTTTACCGCGTGAAGAAAGGTTTGGTCCTGTGATTGAATACCTTCTTTTGTCCTTCTCTTGACTTTCAGTTCTCCAATCACATTCATCACACGAACCACTACATTTTATACACTTATTTGTAAATAATTCAAATTCTTGCTAATTTTTACTTCTCATTCCAGTACAAACTCCAAATCAGTTATATAGATCTTATCTAAGCATATACAACGTCTCTACATGACGAACATGCCCACATCTCCGTCCCTCGACCAAGATCTTTACTACCACATCCATTGCACTTCAAAATATCCCTTCTCACCATCCAATTCTTCACAGCGAGCGCTCTCTGTGTTACCTCTCTTATAGCATCATCACGATGATTGTTGCATAACCATGACTTTCTCAATTGAGACGTGCAAGTGCAGTATCCTTTCCTGAATCGCGTAGTTTGTCTCGCATTCCATGTTCGTGGTTTCATTTCTGATGCACATTCGATGCAGTAATATAACTTGGTATATTCAATGAGCGTTTGTTGTGCATCAGCTACTCGAACATTTTGATCTGTGTGGCAAGGCACACAGGTATGCCAATCACCACCTTCGATACCATGTTGAAGGTAATCGCAATGTTTTGCGGGAGCTTTGAAGCAGATGTCGATTCCAATTAATTCATCGCAATTTTTGTTCTTAAAGATGCCTTTCAAATTTTGTTTCCATTCTCGTCTGTATTCAGATAGAGGCCTTCCCTTAAGTGATGGGTCTGGATCTGAATCGTTATCGCGCCTTAGTGTGGCCATTATCCCTTGTCCGGGTTGTCGTTGTTCTACTCCTCTCAGAACACCTTCTAAACCAACTTCTGGATATTCTGGTCTTTGAACACTATTTTCAGGTTCTGCTTCAGGAAGAAAATCAAGATCCATTGCGTCTCCAAAGGCCATGGCTCCATAATGTGCCACATCTCCAAATGGTTCAGCTAAGAATTCAGGGGCCTCAGGCGCGAGACTGTTAAAAGACGCGTCGGGTTCCACAACTGTCGCCACACGATTATATGACGGACCGTTCGGATCTGGTCGATATGGTTGCAAAGATGGATGATCAGCTGTGGCATGATCCAAGAAAAATTGATTTTGATTCCCAGTCTCCATTGATTCCATTATCATCTGTGAGCTGTAATTCATCATCGGTCCGAGATCCATATTGTGAATTGCTGCATCTGCTTCTGCAGATGTCGCAGCTAACCTATCCCATTCAGGACTACCTTCATCATCCAAGGCCGTCTCCAAATCCGCTCGATAGTCACGTTGCCTATATTTGGAAAAACGAGAGACCGTACTGCACATATCTACTGTACCATTGATTTTGCATGTTCCACATGGTTGTTCGCCATCGCAAGGCCTTGACTGATCTCTACAAGGCTCACATTGTTTACTGGGCAGATTATCTGCACCAGGGCTTACGCTTCTACGCCTTTGTCTCGGAGGATTTCTTCTTGGTCCTTGGTTGAACATGGCTCTTTTCTTTCTGGATAGGCTTGCTTTTTCTTGTGCAGTAATTGGTTCATCATCTTCATCATCGTCATCGTCATCTTCCTCGTCGTTATCAATATCAGGAGCTGCCGTCTTTGATTGCTTTTTCCAGACATGTTTTGTCGACGTTGCATCTTCGAGATCTCGAGTAATCTCACAAACTATTCCACGTGCTTTACAGCGCTCACAAGGTCGAGGTGATCCTGTAACTAAAGTACATGGCTTTCTCATATGCTTACAATATAAGCAACGCTTCGTTTTAGGTCCAGTAGCTCCGGCGAGAGGTCCTCTATTTCTAGACGGCATTGCGGGAAGATCCTCATCACTACTGTCCTCTGGAAGTTCAGGTGTTGTAGGTCTTGGTAGATTATCCCTCTCTGCAATGCGTCTAGCGATTAACAAAGCAGTTTTCCTACTTTTTGCATTTTCAAATTGTCTAGCGGCTTTCTCGGCTCGATATTGTGTTGCATATTCTGGATCAAAACTTTTATGTGTATGATCCATTTTATTCTTATGGACTTCTTTATCTTTTTCCCATTGTGCTTTTACTTTTCGTCTAGCTGCCAATCTAGCTTTAAATTGTTCGGGTGTATCACCTGCTATTTTTGCTGTAGTAGGGAAAGAATATGGTCGGCCTCGAATCTCACTTGCTAATATCCCAATGGCTTTCCTCGAAGTTACTACTCGAGCTCTCCAAGCAGTCATTGATTCACCCGGTTTTCTTGGCCCTTCGTCAATAGCTTCAATATTCGAAGCTATTGATATTACATACGGGGAAAATTCACCACTTTCAAGCTGTTGAACGATGTTGGGATCAAATCCTCCTTCATCACCTTGAGCATATCCTCGTATATCTTTCCAATTAGGTGGTCCGGGTGGACGAATCAGATTTTGCTCTTCCCATATGGTACGTCCGAGTATTCCACCCGGTTGCGGATAATATAGTTGTTGATATGTGGGTCCTCTTGGTGCTCGTGGTATGTGTAAATCTCGATATGCATATTCTACATGTTCTAGAATTTGTTGTTGTGGCTGGTTATATTGTTGTGGCTGATTATACCGCTGTGCTTGGTTATATTGTTGTGCTTGGTTATATCGTTGTGCTTGATTATACTGTTGTACTTGGTTATACTGTGGTTGATTATACTGCTGTGGTTGCCATCGCTCGCGTTCGCGAAGTGGCGCATACATATTCTCAGCCCTAACTGTATGCGTCTCATGCATAAATTCAGCAGACTGTTCTCTCCTCGGTCCATGCATACCAACAAGATTACTACGCGGTTGCGGTCTCATACCAACATCACTAGCAGTACCACGAGGCCGACTAGGTAAAACCCATTCTCTAGGTCTCCCCCTCTGTTCCTGAACCGTAGGTGGAATTCCCCCTCTCCAATCCCAAGCATCACTCTCAAATTGCTGTCCCAATGGTATCGCCGTCGGTGGAGGTCCCTGCGGAAAAACCGCTCGCTCAGGTCTATCCTGTCTCTGCACCACAGAACCCATCGCAGCTATCCCCCCAAAAATATCCCACTGATCAATATCCGCCTCGACTACCATATCCTGATCAGGTATATTCACATAAGGACTTACATACGGCCCCTCATTAAGCAGATTATTAAAATCAACAGCTCCTGGATCCCATAGAGCAGCCGTGTTGGTATTGGTATTGGGATTGGTATTCGCTTCCTGAGACCAGGGCGCTTGGCCCCCTTCCCAGCCAAGAAAGGGATCGAACATGGGTCCGGGCCGTTCGGCCCGGTGATCGGTCTCTTGGGATGGATGGGTTGCGGCGTGGGGGTTTGTGTCTGCTCTGCTGGGTTTCTGGGGGGGTTTTTGGGTGGAGGGGGGGTTGGCTGGGGCGGGTGGGACGATGCCTCGTCGGTTGCGGGCTAGGCCTATTTTTGCGGGGTCCCAGGACATTTTGGTGGTGCTTAGGGGGGTTTAGTGAGGGGGTTTTGGTTGGTTGGGTGGATGAGGTAATAGTAATTTGATTGGTGGTGAGATTTTCAAATTTGGCAATAGAGGAAATCGTTTATTGAGCGCGAGTTATCGAACTAGTTGGATAGATAGATGGCTCGTATGTGCTTGCTTGCTTGATTGTACACTTTACACTTGAACATGCGCTCGCTGAGCGTACTCACTTGTAAGACTCGAATGAAACTTTGACATTTTTCACGGTATGATGATTGAGTGCGCGAGTTATAAGATTGAAGGGCTCTTTGTGAGGGGTATTTGGGGGGGTTATTGTCTTTTCTTTCTTGGTTTCTTTTTTTGTTTGTTTCTTTTGAGTGAAAGTGGGGAGTCAGTGGAGGAGTGGATGTTGAATGGATGGATAGAGAGTGATGCATTGAGAGTTTGAAAATAGGAGGATTGGGGATTGAGGTTTAGGGATTGGGATTGGGATTGGGGGAGGATAAAGGATAAAAGAGGGATTTTGGTGGGAAATTGGGAGTTGGGTGAAAGGTGGAAGGTGAAAGAGACGAAAGAGATGAGGATGAGAATAGGCGATGGTGAAAGGGAGATGGGAAATTTTATCTTTGTTGGGTGGTTGTTGGGTTGGCTGTTTGCGGTTTGGTTTTTGGGATGGAGGGTTTGATGGATGGGATGGGTGAGAGGGTGGGTGTGATGGATGGATGGATGGGTGGATGTAGTTTTATTTTGAGTGAGAGGGTTGTGGAGATAGACGGGGTTGGGAATTGTAAGTGGTAATTTGAAGTGGTAATTTGAAGTGTGGGAAGTAGATACTAGAGAGTGTATAAAGGAGATATTTTTCTTTGATGATGATGAGATTGAGGATAGGAGGGAACTTTGAATTTGGATTTGAATATGAATATGGACTTGAAAATGAATCTGAATTTAAACTTGACTTTGAATAAATTAAATAGAGTTTACAAAAAAAGAATTATAGTTTATTAAAACGAATATAAATATATATATGATATAATCTATCTATATATTGTAAAAGAGGAAAAAGAAGAGAAAGAAAAGAAAAGAAGAAATTATAAGATTAATCTAGTTGTAACGATACTGTACTGGAGGCAGCGGCAGCCTAAGGTTCGTCAGTTGGTAGTTATGGGTTAAGGCTTTATCACTGGTATTCACTTGGAAATGAAGTCGTTACTAGATCAAGTAGAATGTAGGTAAACTAATTGATAACTAAGTTGAGCACAAGGCTTTTATTCTATGAAACTATTCTGATTATATACTAAACGTTTCCTGAATGCTAGCTATGCTAGTTGATTAGCATAGCTAGTACTTTTGTTGGTGCTAGCCCATGCTAGCTGACTAGCAGAGTCTATCATATCACGTGATCCCTATTTGCCTCAGGATACTAATCCTGGGACGATTCGTCTCCCAGGATAATTTAACTTCCTCCTAGGATAATTGTCCTAGGATAATTATCATCCTAGGACGTTTTATCCTAAGACACATACTATCCTAGCTCACCCTGATCTCCCAGGACACTTGTCCTGTACCCTTGTGGTTGCCTAATCGTTTGTCCTAGGATTCCTAGGTTCCTTATCGGAGCCGATAAGGAACCCCCGTAAACCGCGGTTAGATCACATTTCCCCTGTTTTCGGCAGCTGAATCACCGACACTCATAATACTACCATAATCTAAACCGTGATTCGTGACACTAGTAATCTTAATTTAGGATAATAGGATTATAATATTTTTATTTTTTGTTTTCTTAATTCATTTAGAAAAATTAATTATTAAATCTAGATTTTATTTAATAATATATATTGTTTAATTATATTTAAATCAAGGATTTTGATTATAGAAATTTATTTATTTTTGTGACCAAAAGGGTGTTTATAGACCAGCAATTGTATTTAACTTAGAATCTACAGGTGAAGAGCACCTGTAGATGGGGATAGCTACTCTATATATACACAAATGAATGGCCTAGCCGTAATGGCTAGGCAAAAAGAAGTCATATTTATCCCTCCAATGATCTTACTTTACCGATAACCATTGATACCTAGTACTTGTCCAGATCTGATCCTCAGGTCACATAATCGTATACTAATCCCGAGTAATCGTATCATGTGTGGACATGGTTAATGTACCTGAGGTTTCTTATATAATAAGGGTGGGAGGAAAGCAGGGGTTTCCGTCACAAATATCTCAACTAATAAAATCGCGAAAAATCTGAAATTTTCAGGATTCACTTATAATTATATAATCATTTTGTAATTAAAATTTCAATTGATTCAATTTATTAATTGTTGAATAATTAATAGGTAAAAATTGTTATTTTGGATATAAAAGGGTAGCCTATATTAGGGGTGGCCCAAAAGTAGGGTACTAGACTTATTATTTCTTTACCATAAATCAATCAACTTAACCTCAGTTAAGTTATCTCGGAAGAAATCACTACCAAATCATGAGATATTTCCTTGTGGAGTGTCCCTCGTCTTCTAAAGCTAAGAGTTTCATTTATGATTGTGATTGGTTAACATGATTGGTATTTCATAGCCGTAGTTGGTGATATGCTTGGGAGCTCAGTCGCTGTATTTATTTTACCACGCCCATCTTTATCCAACAAGACAGTGTGTATCAATTCACCCAAAAGATTCAATTATCAAATCTATATCAAACATTGAAGGGTATGAATGATGAGATTTATTGAGAATTATTAAATATATATATTGAATGAAATCTAGTTCATATATCAGATACTATATCAAGAGAACATCATCAGACCATAATCCTTCCCGGCCAAACAATTTGGCATATCATATTTAGATATAATTGTTGAGTACGAGAAGGATACCGGAAGACGTAGCACCCACGGATTACGTAGGTCCTGTATGTCTAATTGTATTCTGTCTAAAGAGCTAGCTACATATTGAAAGTAGTAAGTCTTATATAGACTTACTAAAAGAGCTAGTCTCTTTCGCGTTCGCTTAGTTCTTTATTACAGTAGTAATTGAATTGAAGTCATTCACTTCGTTCACACAATAATACAATCTTGATAATATACAACATATAAATATTGGTAAGATATAACCTCGCAGATATAAGTAGGATTACAAAGCTATATTATATTTATATATTGTACAAGTAAAAATCGAGATATTGTAAATATCAATGATATTTATATTATACATACAAAACCTAATATTTATTCTAGACAGGGTAGTCTGTCTCGGTTTGATTCCATGATAATGACTATTATCTAATCGTGGCATATTATTTGTTATGATACAAAGTTGCTAGTATTAAAATACTAGTTGTCATATATACATCAATACTACTCGAGACCATACAACCTTACATATATACACTTCATCCCTTATAACTACAGGGATCCAAACATTATCAAAGACTTACCAATGGAGTACCACGCGTATAATTACATATGGAAGACAAGTTAAAAGTAAATAATATAAAAAGAACCTGCTACGCCATCCTCGCATTCCTCCATCATGATATCATTACAATCCCTAGTATACATACACCTCAATCTGTCTCTCGCTTTAGCGGCGGCAAGTCTTTCTTTCTGTCCCTGTATTTACTCTTCACTTCAAGCACCAATCCTGACAAGTATTGACGCACATTCCAATTTTCCACTCTACATCTCAACAATCCCCTCCAAAAATTTAAAGTAATCAAGTGAGCAAGAAGCAACAAGTTACACATTATCCCAAAGTACAAACTACACTCATTATCATTACTCATAGACTCCAGACCGCATACCTCATTAAACTATATCCCCTCAAATACAATCCACAGTGGAACAAGCGGAGGCAATTGAACGTATGTGGCCAATAGTTCAAGAGGCAAACCGAGAATTTCCTCGTCATACAAAACTTACTAAATCCACATCCTCTTCACTAATCCAAATAAAGCAATGGGGAAATCGGGTAAAGGGATTATTCAGCGACAACCGATATCTGATCTATACCCGAGAGAAATTGATAAGCTATATACAGATGCGGACATAATGTCAACTTCATTGGGAAATGACACAAACAAATAAGAACTTCCGTGGATTACAAAACATCGAGGAAGTGTGGGTCGAGAAATAGGTGCAGGGTTAGAATGAATAAATAAATAGACACACTAGTCTTCTTCTTAGAGAAGAAAGAGAAATATACTTGTAAATTGAATAGGTAGTCCAATCTCAAATGGGAAATCACTGCCATTGTCTAGTTCGCTGTACCGATATAATGAAGTCAAGAACCATAATTAAGCGAGCCCTTACCCCTGATAAATAAATAACCAAGACCAAAATTGGGAACATAATTAACAATTCCTTTGCTCTGTTCGGAGGAGTTCAATATTTGAACTTCCCACATAAACTTGGGCTTTGAGTACTATTTCAAAGTAGAGAGGAATGATATAACTATGCTCCCACGCATGTGATTGCTGAAGCATATCCAATAGCTGATTGGGCATGTATGTAGAATTCGCATGTTCTTGAAGACTACCTGTATGCTGTAGACAGACTTCGTTCAAGCACCCACTATGTAAATGTAATGATCTCGGACGTATTGCCCTCTTTCTAGCTATTTGACCATCACAACTAGTAAGTTATGGGTAGACAGAGATTCCTTGAAAGTGCCGTAGGAAAAATTGCATGCCAGAAGAACGAACAATGAAAGAAAATGAGGCAAAGTTTCTGAATCCCTAAACCAAAGGGAAGGATATCTATTGTATTGCGCAACGCATTTCTACTCATCCTCTCCTCTATTTATCTATTTGTATATTCTACGCACAAATGGAATATCTCAAATCTTCCTATGCATAGCACCACCAGCACCGGCCTATGAACTGTCAGTTCATGACTTTTTATGTAATACCGTGGCAGAAGCCTGCCAATATCCCTATTAGTTCTTGTCGGACCAAAAGAATCACAAAACATACCTGATGATTGGGGAAAACTAAAGTATCGGCGATAACCACATTCTCTCTTCTTCCAGCTGCAAAAACAATAATTTCTGCGATATCATCCGGAGTCAATGGTTCGCATCCAGCATAAACAGCATCTGCCTTCTTCTTATCACCATAGAATCTGACGACACTGAATTCCGTCTCAACTTGCCCTGGATCAATCTCAATGACTCTTATTCTTGTAGCAATTAATTCCTTTCTAAGTGAATCACCAAAACTTCTAATGGCTGCTTTAGTCGCACAATAGATACTTCCTCCTATGTATGGTTCTCTTCCTGCAATACTGCCAATGTTTATAATATCGCCTTTTCCACCATCGGGTCGTGCTTTGAAAATTGGAAGGATAGCTTGAGTCATATTGATGAGACCAGTTACGTTTGTTGCGAACATGATGTTGACATCTTCTTCGGCGATAGATGGAGCTTGGGCTACGCCTTTGACTAAACCACTGAATTAAAACTTTCATCAGCAGATGTATTTTATCTCTTGCAGAACAGCAGGAGGAAAATATGAGCCCGGCCATGCATGATAATGGATGAACCCTATAGTGTGCCTAAAATAGCCTCTGTAACCAACAAGTTGAGGGTAGTAACCTTGGAGCAAAGGAATATTCTAAAAGCTTCCCTTCACATTGAAGTAGTCATCCCAGTACTCTTTCCTACTCTAAAGATTTGAAAGCACTCACGCATTATTAACCAAAATATCAATTTCCCTCCATTCCTCTGGCAATCCACCAACAAACCCTTTCACCTCCTCAGGTTTGCTAACATCCAATTTCACAGGCAAAACCTTCACACCCTCACCACATTCCTTCTCAATATCCTTCTTTACCTCTTCCAAAACATCAATTCTCCTTGCCGTTAAAATTAATCTCAAATCTTTAGGAGAAGTCCTCGCGAATTCGAAAGCGGTACTTCTACCAATTCCTGACGAGGCACCAGTTATAACAATGGTTTTTCCCTCTAGACGTTTGGACATTGCGGATGACATGGTTCGTTTGTAGAGGTGCGGAAGGAGGAATCCGGGAGATGGATATCTGAGGAGGGATTTGAAGGTTCGTAGGTTTAGAGATTGTTTCTGAAGAATTGGCATGCGTGGAATTGAGGTTTATGAAGTTAATTAAGAAGAGAACTGTCAGAACGGAGTCATAGATAAGTGGAAGGAGAGAATGATCAATGATGTGATTACCTAGGTAATCTAAGGTGGGGGTTTGATAGCTGTGACTTTATGAGCTTACCCCACATTTCGGAGATAGAACGGGATTGTATTGCCCTCGGTCCGTCCCTTAAGCAAGGTTACTAGATAATCTGAGGGACAGTCTGTCCAGAACGGTATTCGTCTACCAGGAGATTATTTCATCTATGTTTCGGCAATCAATACACCTCAATATTTATGTGCCTATCAATCAGTGCTTGAATCCCCGAGATATTCGAGAAGCCTTCGACTATATATTGTAAGTCGATGGAAAGTTAACACTCCCAAAAGCTATGCAAACAAAATATACATCTTCAACTACCTCCACCCACGAAAGAACAAAGAAAATGCTTTTATCCCTAGCTCTTTATCGGTCATATGGAAAATTGCACTGTCTTACTATAGCAAGTGCTTTTAGGTTTTCATCGCACACCCAACAGAGTCCATGAATCCTTATATCTCTGTTCTGATATCATTTCCCAGATATAAAGTTTACAAACCCTCTCTCCCTGTTTCTGTTACAAATCATTTACATTTTGCCAATTTACGGACTGATATAACCACTCTAGCTTCAGTAAGCTTCAAGAGTCGTAATCATTATTTTAGAGCGGTTAAGGACCTCATATATATCTCCTTGAAAGTTTTGAGAGGTTTTGACGAAGCTATTTATCAGCAAGAGATTCTCGTATGGATAATAATAATGCCTATGATTTCTTAGGTAGTCTTTTAAGTCTCTTAAATCTCTTAAATCTCTTAAATCTCTTAAATCTCTTAAATCTCTTAAATCTCTTAAATCTCTTAAATCTCTTAAATCTCTTAAATCTCTTAAATCTCTTAAGTCTCTTAAATCTCTTAAATCTCTTAAATCTCTTAAATCTCTTAAATCTCTTAAATCTCTTAAATCTCTTAAATCTCTTAAATCTCTTAAATCTCTTAAATCTCTTAAATCTCTTAAATCTCTTAAATCTCTTAAATCTCAATCATTTATCTTTATTAATTTATTAAGGATTTCTTTTTTATTTTCCACATAGACCATATCCTTTATAACAATTCTCCATTGGTACTTATTATTAGTCGATACTGGACAGTATCGAGATTACTTGAACATTCATCAATTCCCTACCCAACTCCACAATAACCCTCATCTCCGATTAATTCCAATCAAATTTATAATAAACAACATAACAAAACCCCAAAATCTTTCCGTTCTTTTTCCATGGGACCTTGCTTCCCCCCGCCCCGCTCCATCCCACTCCACTTCTATCCAAAAAAAAATCTCTTCATCCGTCACCCACCACATGAATATATCTTCTAACACATGGCTGTTCCACAACAACAATCGCGAAAACCCTTCTATGGTGTAATGGTTAGCACGTCGGATTTTGATTCCGGAGATATTGGTTCGATTCCTATTAGAAGGTTCTCTAAGAACTTTCCATCCTTCCATACCTAGTTTGAAGCTAGGATATTAGGGTTTCGTTGTCTTTTTGGGGAAACTTTTGCTCTTTCTTTTATGTGTAGATAGATAGAGTGTAAGAATTCCTATGAAGGAATATAATTTTTCTTGAGTATATTCTGATATTGTATCCCCTCTATCAAAAAAATTGATATCAAGAGGGCAAGCCCCCACATCCTCAAACCCCCTTTAGCTCGCTACGCTCGAAGAATTATTTTCGATATAGGTAGTCGGCCTCCACAGTTTTGTTACGAGGGTTGCCGTCTAGATCACGTGAAAGTGCTCTAGGCTCTCGAGGTGGTTTATAACTAGGCGTCAAGCAGGGACTTAAGTAATGACAATGATGATATGCAATTCGTAACTAATAGTAGAGTATACTAAATGATTGATCTTGATCTTGAGCACGAAGCTCTAACGTGGTTTATCATCGGGTCGCCAATATCACCGGGTCGCCACTTTTTTCACCATTCAACCACTTCAATTTCAATTCGCGATATCTCAATGAATTATCATGGAAACACAATCAAAAGAAGCCCGAATCATCTTAGCTATTGAAGCTATTCGAAAGTCTAAAAATTTGACAATTACGAAAGCTGCGAAAGTCTATTCAGTACCTCGATCTACACTACGCGATAGAATCAACGGTCGAAATAACCAAATGGAAACTCGAGCAAATGGGCATAAAATAACCGAATTAGAAGAGAAAGTGCTTCTTCAGTATATAATTGATATGGATGATAGAGGGTTTGCACCTAAATTGAGTGGTGTGGAAGATATGGCGAATTATATTCTTCAGTCGCGAGGGGCAAAGAAGGTTGGAAAGCTCTGGGCTCATCGATTCGTAAAGCGTCATACGGAATTAAAGATGCGTTTTAATCGCGTTTATGACTTTCAAAAAGCTCTCTGCAAAGATCCTAAGCTTATTGAAAAATGGTTTCAAATGGTATTGAATATACGAGCGAAATATGGTATTCAGGATTGCGATTTCTACAATTTCGACGAAACAGGCTTCATGATGGGGATTATAGTTGCCTGTATGGTTGTAACTAGTGCTGAACGAAATGGCAGAAGCAAGGCAATACAACCAGGCAATCGAGAATGGGCTACAGCAATTATATGTGGTAATGGAGAGGGTGAAACTATACCTCCATTTCTGTTGGGTTTCTTGAGACTAGAAAGAGCATCAGATTGAATTGATTGATTTTCTAGCTGAGCAGTTAAGCTGCGAGTATATATTCAAAAAATGAAGGAATAGGTTAGGTATTCGGCCTTCGGAATTAAAGTGCTTTGAAATCAAAATATTGAAAGCAAACAAACAGTATACCAAAAAGGAAAGAATAAATTAAAAGTTGAGTTTTGTTTGCTCCTTATATGCATCATGCAATATACATGCATATGCTGCCAAGATCACAGGAGGTCAACAATTTCTGATAGTTCAAGGACAAGTCCACCTTTCGAATTGGTATACCGAAACCGATCTTCCTACAGATTGGGCTATTAAACCTACTTCCAATAGATGGACGAATAATGAGACAGGGTTAGAATGGTTAAAGCATTTCGATAAACATACTATTCATCGAAGAAAGGGCAAATATCGAATGTTAGTGCTGGATGGACACGAAAATCATGAATCAATACCTTTTCAATCATATTGCAAAGCAAATGATATAATATACATAAAGCTACCAGCGCATTCTAATCATTTAACTCAACCATTCGATGTTGGATGTTTTAGTGTTCTGAAACGCTCGTATGGTAGTCAAATTGATGGATTTATCAAGGCACATATCAATCATATCTCTAAGATTGAATTCTTTATAGCTTTCAAAGCTACATATCAACAATCAATTACATCTCAGAATATAAAAGCTGGGTTTCGAGGAACTGGATTAATACCATTTAATCCTGAAGCTGTACTCTCAAAGTTAGATATTCGAATTCATACACCTATTCCCCCCCCTCTCAATATAGATCCTTGGATCTCTCAAACACCTCACAATCCAATTGAAGCTCTTTCTCAATCAACTTTAGTAAAATCTCGAATAACTCGTCATCAATCAAGCTCTCCTACATCTATATTCGAAACTGTACTAGCTCTAACTAAAGGTATAGAGAGATTAGTATATGAGAATACACTTTTAAGTGCAGAAAATCGTACACTTCGGAAGGCAAACGAGGTATTAAGCAAACGTCGACGCGCAAAAAAGATTCAATTACGTCAAGGAGGAGTGCTTACTGGACAAGAGGCTCTTGATATATTATCTCAACAAGAGGTTGATGTTCAGATTCAACGCGACGAGCGTCAAAAGAGGGGGAATTCTAATGAGGAAGCATCTTCTAGTCGATGCTGTAGTACATGTGGGAGAACTGGTCACAATTCAAGAACTTGTCAAAATAGTATAATAGACCCTAGATTATTAGATTCTTAATAGTTTCAATCAATTGATTGAGTAGTTGTTGAATAATACAAAATTGAAGTGGTTGAATGGTGAAAAAAGTGGCGACCCGGTGATATTGGCGACCCGATGATAAACCACGTTATACAAAGGGAATCCATCTTGATTATATAGACCTTCATACTTCTATGATCACTGGTGATCCTTCATGATCATCAGTGATCACCTATACCGTGATCCTTAGTGATCCTTAATGATCACTACTGATCACTTATGATCACGTGTCTTGGTCATGTGATGGTAGTTGTGTAGCCCGTCGTAACAAGTTTGGCCCGGAGGTCAGCGGAGTGTTATTTTGATATTATTGAATTCTTGTTAGATATTTATAGTTTGTTTTTTCAAGATCTTTTAGATATATAAAATAAATATATTTTATAATTTTTATAATATTTTTATATTTTATTTTATTTTATTTTATTTTATTTTATTTTATTTTATTTTATTTTATTTTATTTTATTTATTTTATTTTATTTTATTTTATTTTATTTTATTTTATTTTATTTTATTTTATTTTATTTTATTTTATTTTATTTTAAAATTGTGACGGAAACCCCTGCTTTCTGTTACGTCCAAAACGATTAGTATGTCACATGACCATAAAACATGTGATGGAACGGTGAGGAACGAACGTTCCTAGGAACAACCAGGAACGCTCGTTCCCAGGAACGACGATTCCTAGTTAACCATAGGCACGAAGGACTATATAATCAAGATGGATTTCTTTTGTATAGAGCTTCGTGCTCAAGATCAATCATTTAGTATACTCTACTATTAGTTACGAATTGCATATCATTATTGTCATTACTTAAGTCCCTGCTTGACGCCTAGTTATAAACCACCTCGAGAGCCTGGAGCACTTCCACGTGATCTAGACGGCAAACCTCGTAACACTTTCCTCCCACCCTTATTATATAAGAAACCTCAGGTACATTAACCATGTCCACACATGATACGATTACTCGGGATTAGTATACGATTAGGTGACCTGAGGATCAGATCTGGACAAGTACTAGGTATCAATGGTTATCGGTAAAGTAAGATCATTGGAGGGATAAATATGAATTCTTTTTGCCTAGCCATTACGGCTAGGCCATTCATTTGTGTATATATAGAGTAGCTATCCCCATCTACAGGTGCTCTTCACCTGTAGATTCTAAGTTAAATACAATTGCTGGTCTATAAACACCCTTTTGGTCACAAATATATATAAATTGATTTAAAAATTATAAATATTGATTATATATTTTGATGTCTTTTGGTGTGAATTATAAAATGGCTGATAGCAGTTGGCTAGTACTGTATGCTGGCCATTTGCCAAATGGAAATGGTTGATGGATGAAGTATAGATGTGGTTATAAATTATTTGTCCAGGTAAGGCACCATAAGCCGTATTGCTCTTAGGAATGCAGCGCAACTCTTGGCAGATATGGAAGACAAGACTGGCATACTGAAACCTCGATATCTGCAGTCAGAAGATTGTCACCTTTTTCATAGTCCTGATACACTTAAGTATCATAAGAACCTATCATGGCTTGCTAAAACATCATCTCCGCATCCTCGCTGGGCTGATTTTACAGGAGATCAGGCTAAGGCCCATTACCCCTCTAATTCGACCAGCCCACGAACATTTTTGCTTGCACTCACATCCATAAATAGGCAATTAACCCACACGGATGGCTATTGACCTACGCAACTGGTTCATGTAAATGCTCGCTGCTAATATTGCTGTCTTCAATGTCCTAAGAAATCCTACATTCATTTGAAGAGATACCTGACAGCCAAGAAAAGTCGAAACAGCCAACTTCAATAACGAAGAAGATACATAAGAAACAATTGCAAGGGCATTAGCTAAGGGTAGCTTATATGTATAAAAGTCAAATTAGACCTTGTTTGCCACCCAAAGGTGTCGCTTTCTAATACACCTCATATTTTAACCGAGACTACCCGATTTTTCGACGACAAATTGAATACCGATAATTACAACCTCTAGCACATTCATCTTGGCATTGCTAGAGCTTTGAAATGAAATATAAGTGCCCGAATATTTTTTTTTAGCAAGGGTGTAAGGTTAAGACCGTTCCATGACTCGCTTCCGCCCCCGGCCCACCAAAAAAAAATTTCTTTGAAAATTCTTCTCGTCCCACTTGAATGCAAATATAAACATAAATAACGGACTGGATAATAACAATTGCAATAACCCTTCTATGGTGTAATGGTTAGCACGTCGGATTTTGATTCCGGAGATATTGGTTCGATTCCTATTAGAAGGTTCTGATATACAGAACGTTCTCTTCTTCCATATCCAGTTTGAAACTGGGATCAGAGGGTTGCAAACTTTTTGCCATTTTGCCACCGGTAATCCTCGCCTGGAACCGGGTACTACCACATAGTGGCTAGTCCTAGATCGATTTGTTTTCGGTGTTGTTGATATCTTCTCGAATTCATCCCTTCAATAAGACAAACCTGCGGTGGATTTCTCCACGCCACTTTGAACCTAGGTGGGGCGGAAGCGCGGAAATGTGGTCGTTCGACGGATGATGAGTTAGATGAACTGAATATGTATGTGTATATGTTCCTTGCCAACGGTAGATAGTCATCCAGGTAGGAAAAATGTGGTGTTCTGCGGCTGCCTTTGATGTGATCGATTTTTCTCTGCTTAGGCTTTGAAGACTTACAGTTCCTTGCTACAGAACGGAATCTGATATAGCTTTCAAGTGTCTAGGGATTGAGAAGGATTCCAATGGAAATGATACTTGCATTCCCGTGGAGGGCTGGCGGATGTGGACTCAAGGCGTAGAAATGATTTACTATGTTCGTCTAATTCAATGTCCATCTTAGCTCGGAACTTTAAAAGACGGATTGAAAAAGGCGGAATAGACTTGTATGACTATGACTTTAATAATTATACAATATCACGAGAACAACGATAATTAATGAAGAAGGGTGATGATATATTGATCCTGTGCTGCTACCGAGACCCCTAATTCGATGAGCACGCCAATCATGTGATTGATTGAAGAAGTCTTTCTAATCTCCGACGTCCGACGTCCGATATCCGATTAAGCAAATGCTGAGTACATAGTTCTACTCATTTTCCCTTCATTAAACCTTCTGGCCTGGGCAAACTCTATCAAGATATCCAAGGAAGCCAATTTATCATGATATCGAGGATTCAGCTCCTCAATTTAGCCTTGGTATTGACAATAAATGCCACGATATTAGCGTGCCGTTACACTTCTCCGTTGCCTGCTAACATGCCACAGTAATGTTATGTACGGAGTAAATGGCGGTGGCAACGATACTACCAAAACCCGATATAAACTTCATGCACCTCCCCCGCTTGTAACCCCGCAAAGATAATCGGCCCGTCATGTTATTCTTGATCGATGAAACGTGGAGATTAGTTTGACCAATCGTCAAGCTTGTGACATGGGATGAAAGGTACATGTAAAAGAAGTAGACTGGCACTAGTAACTTGTTTATATTGCTGCATGTTTCCTTAATTGTACCACATCTGCTTCTTTTCTTCCCCTTTTGACTTGAGATAAACTATTGCCAGTACTTTCATCATGCGGTTTTATTCAGTCACAGCAGTTTTATCTCTGCTATGTACTCAAGCAATAGCGACTTCACCAAGCGATTCGGCTGCAAGTTATAATAATCTCAATTCATTCATTGCTTCCGAGAGAAAAATTGCTTTACAAGGCGTTCTCAATAATATTGGACCAGATGGATCAAAAGTGTCAGGAGCAGGCAACTATGTTGTTGCAAGTCCATCTAAAGCTAATCCGGATTGTGAGAGCAACATTCTCGGTTAATTACCGCAAGACAGTTTATGCTGATGAATTCTAGATTTCTACACCTGGACACGAGACTCCGCATTGACGTTAAAGATGATTGTTGATGAATTTATCTTTGGCAATCGTGCACTTCAACCTCAGATTGAGAAATATGTAAAGGCTCAAGCTATCCTCCAAACTGTTACGAATCCTTCTGGTTCTCTTCTTTATGACGGTCTTGGTCTCGGTGAACCAAAATATAAGGTTGATGGTACCCAATTCAATGGTGGTATGTAAACATTCAAGAGGAGATTTTGGCAAAGGCTGACTTTCTTTAGCATGGGGTAGACCTCAACGTGATGGCCCAGCTCTTCGTGCTATTGCTTTAATGGCTTATAGTAATTGGTTGATAAATCATGATCAATTTCAAAGAGCCAAGCTAGTTATATGGCCTATTATTTCAAATGATCTTTCGTACATCGGGGAGTACTGGAACTCAACTGGGTTCGACCTCTGGGAAGAAGAACTTGGCTCAAGCTTCTTCACCTTACAGAATCAGCATCGTGCTTTTATTGAAGGTCAAACTTTGGCTAATAAGCTGGGAGTTGAATGTACAGGATGTCTTAATGCACCCGAAGTCCTTTGTTTTCTCTCTCAAAGTTTTTGGAATGGTGAATATATCATCTCAAATGTTAATGTGGATAATGGAAGGACTGGATTAGATGCAAATTCTATCCTTGGTTCAATATCTATTTTCGATGTTGATGGGTCATGTGATAGTCCAAATTTACAACCTTGTAGTAGCAGAGCGTTGTCAAACTTTAGGGCTGTTGTCAATAGCTTTCGAGGGATTTATGGTATCAATGCTGGTATTAAGAATAATTCAGGTATTGCTGTTGGAAGATATGCTGAAGATATTTATCAAGGAGGAAATCCATGGTACATTCTTCCACTAATCCGATCTATCTATTAATAGCTAACTTTTTAGGTATTTAATCACCACTGCTGCCGCAGAATTTCTCTATGATGCTGTTGCACAATGGAAAAATCAGAAAGCCCTGACCGTTGACTCGATATCCATCAACTTCTTCCGCGATCTCTATCCAACCATCAAGCTTAAAAGCTATACCAACAAGGACAACGAATTTACCAAAATACTGAACGCTATTACAACATATGCCGATTCTTTCGTCACAGTCGCGCAAAAATACACACCCGTAGATGGATCTCTAGCTGAACAATTCGATCGCAATACTGGCACCCCCATCTCGGCAAATGACCTAACATGGAGTTACGCAGCATTCGTCACAATGGCCCAAAGACGTTCTGGTCAATATCCCGCCAGCTGGGGAAGTTCAGCATCATCAATCCCACCACCAAACTGCGCACCTTCATCAACTCAAGGCGTATACATTCCAGCCATTGCAGCAGGCGCCCCAAACATCACAGCAACATGTAAATACGCGGTTCAATTCTACGTCAACGCTACAACATATTATGGCGAAAATATATATGTCATTGGTAACACGACGGATCTCGGGAATTGGGATTTAAATAGCGCGTTGCCGATGAATGCGGGGATGTATACGACGGAATATCCATTATGGTATGTGGATACGAAGCTGACGGCGGGCGATACGGTTAGTTATGTTTTTGTTAGACAGCAGGATTGTGGTCAAGCTCCGATTTATGAGAGTGGGAATAGGACGGTTACGGTTCCGGAATGTGGGACTGGAGGGACGAAGGTGGTTAGGGCTGCTTGGGCTGGGAGTGTGGGGAGTAGTGGGAGTTGTTGAGGATTTTATAGCTTTGCTAGCACTAGGGTAGTGAAGGATGATTAGTTATGAGGTTTTTAATGGGTTGTGGGTTAAGATAATCTTATATACATTAAATTATTTTTTGATGTCGTAAACATGACAAAACTCACGCAACTCGGCACGTGGTAAGATTGGTTACTGTCGACTTTCCTACAGACAGTTCTGTCCTTCCCTGCCATTCATCTCGTTTAAACTGCCTTCCAAATCTTCCACTTCCATTCCTCACCATCATCTTCAATCCCCCACATACCCACTATCTATCCTATCTCTCTCACTACTTTTCCGTCACTATGACACTATCATTATTATATATTCAAATTTTGATCATGCACTAAATTCTTCAATCCTTTTCATTATTGGAAACTTTGGTTCTTTTATCATTATCTATCTGAATTTGATTGTTATGACAGTTCTCAACCACAATTTCCTGATATTCTCTCATTACAATAACTACTTCTCACGGTATTCCTATTGAAAAATGAAATCCCTCATATTACCATACACACTCCCTATAAACCCCATTGAGCCCCAAGTCTATTAGTAGCCTCATCATCACCTAATCTATTCCCATGTATCTTCTGGCCTTTCCTATCCAATCTGCAAGTCGCCATATTAGCACCCGCACATAACAGTTTCAAAAAAGATTAACAAGAGTAAAAACTCACACAATAATAGGCCCCGGAAAACTCGCCAATTTCCTCAAAAACAACCAAAACTTATAAAAAGTCAACTGAATCTTCCTCCCCTTCATAAAATTCGGAATCCACACCTCCCAATACCCCGTCCCGACTATCTCACCCACTTTCTCAATCGCCTCTCGTACCTCGATGTAAAATTCGCTCGCTGTGCGGATTTGTCCACTTCGTACTTTGGTTTTCCATATGCTGGCCACTTGGGGCTCCATTATGAGATTCCAGATTTCGGTCCAGAAAGTTGGTGTAAAGGTTATAGGTGGGTAGGGCAACATGATATTTGGGAAGTCCTTGAGGTGATCCCAGCCATTATCGATGAAGCGGAGGAGAAGACCATTGGGTTCTTCTCGTAAACTATCACAATTAAATAAATTAGCAAATCGTGGAGAACAACATTTAGAGTAAAGATAAAAGAGGATAAAGTCTTACATAACTA